TTAGAGTTCAATAATGCGGAGCAGTTCAACCAATCCCCGCGTTTCGCTCATCTCCTTGACTCGACGGTTTTGCGCCGCCACCCTCAGAAAAGACTGGAATCAAGCACGTGAACACCGTTTGAGTTTGAATTTTTATTGCTTCTAGATCACCGATCTGATAAATCCATATAATGACTGAGAGTCTCGACGACAGATCTGGATGATTGATGGACTCTTCTGCTGGCACGCTTCCCTGAATATGCACTGAAGATCTTCGCGCCTGGACCAGCTCACACATCCCTGGATCGCTACGACGATAGTCCTCGGTCACGATGAAGTACGGTCATGAATATGCGCAGTTGCTGGCTAGCGAAGGATTTCCTGAGGAATGGGTTTCTTCTGCCATTTCTTACCGACTGCTGAAGAAGTCAATCAAAAAAGTTCAGCAAGAATTGAGCACGCTTGGCTTGGACGCTTCCACGCTTCAACATCTACACAGCGATTTCGTCGTGGAAGCTCCAGGAGATACCTCTGGAACAAACTTTGTGCCTGAGCTATGGATTGCTGTTGACGGCGCTAGTGGAGAGTTTTTAGACGCGCATCTAACCAAAGAGACAAAACAATACTTCCTCTGGCTGGCTCAGAACAATACCTCACAAGATGGCCAGAGTAGACGTGCTAGTCAGGTTTCACATGGCACTGATGGATCTTCACTATCTGAGCACGAGCAAACCAACGCCGAAATGCGCGCATCTTCCGCCGAAACTGGTGCAAAATGGGCTCACGTACATCTACAGACAGCAGCAAACTTCTTCAACCTTCTGGATCCAAAATTAGCACAGTTAGATGTAATTCAGCAAGCAGAGGGAAAGCGTCTGGAATCACAGATTGTGGAGCTCAGCACTGAAGTCACAGCGCTCACCGAGCCTGCTCATCAAAAGAAGGGCAAGTTCAAGGCTAGATCAGACGTTACGGTCTGGCGCCAGATACTTGCTTTGTATGTGCAGCATGCCATCTTCTTCTCGCCATACGAAAGAACTCGCGGCTCGCGTAGCTTTGACAAAGCAAAGTCACAGCTCGAGCTCTTCTCCAAAGATCTGGTAGATCAAGGGCTTGTCAAGAGGTTCAAGGAGAAGACAAGCAGACAGGCCTTTGATCATTTCGTGGCTATCAATCTCGACATCCTCAAGGCAATGCGCTTCCAAGAACTCAATATGGAAGCAGTAAGAAAAATCCTCAAGAAATTCGACAAGCGAACTGCTCTGGGAGCAACAAAAGCATATCAGAGTCATGCGATCAGTGGTCCTTTTGCCAAGTCTGTCGCAACAGACATGTGTGCAGCAATGTCCCAGCAAGTCATCACCATCGTACCTCAGCCAGATGACTACAGTTGCCCTGTCTGCTGCGACATCGCCTGGAGACCAATCCGCCTCGAATGCTGCAACACAGTATTCTGCATTCGCTGCATGATTGAGTTGCAAAAATCGGCTTCCAAATGCCCGATGTGCAGATCGACTGCAGTCATCACTGCAGATTCTGGCTCTATCGATCAGCAAAGAGCGGAATACCTAGTCAAGTACTTCCCGCATGAAGTCAAGGAGAAGCAGAAGGCGAACGAGCTTGCTGTTGCGATTGACAAGTATGGTCCAGAATACCAGAAAGGACCTTGCAGTATTATGTGAAATTGCATATCACTTACGCGCAATCGAAAGAAGCTCAATGACAGGCTAGCATCACGTTTCAGGTCCATATGGCGAAACAACAAGCATTCGCTGTGGTTGGTGTGCTCTGAACTCGGGTGAAAGACCGCCAAAATCGACCCCGCGATTGCGTCATCTGTACGACTTGTACATCACCACCTTACCATGATTCTTTCTCTTCGCAACAGCCTAAATGCTGAGGAATCTACTTCAAATACCGAGTAAACACATTAACAGATTCACAAGCATCAGAAACATGTCGAACAAATCCCACCCCGACGCCAACCTGTTCCCGCACGCAACTGGTCTCGCCCAGAAGACCGTTGAAGACCACAAAGCGGAGCAACCTCTGAAGTTATATGCCGGATGGTTCTGCCCATTCGTTGGTCGTGCTTGGACCGTATTACAAGAGAAGAACATCCCATACCAGTATATCGAGGTGAGCATATAGCACTCGTGCCCGGCGAGTCGCTGCTGACCAGCGACAAGGTAAATCCATACCACAAGCCAGAATCACTTCTGAAGCTTAATCCCCGCGGGTTGGTCCCTACACTCCAGTACGACAACAAGCCTCTATACGAAAGTACTGTTATTTGCGAATTTCTCGAAGAAGCCTACCCAAACCATGGACCCAAGCTGCTGCCCGAAGACCCCTACGAGCGTGCTCGCACCCGCATTTGGACAGACTACTGTACATCACGAATCATTCCTGCCTTCCATCGGTTCCTACAATTTCAGCCAATGTCAGACACTCAAGGTCTCGAAGAAGTGAGGCAGGAGTTTCTCGGCCACTTGAAGGAATTTACAATAGAGATGGATACTGAAGGGCCATACTTTTCGGGCAAGGATGTCGGTCTCATTGACCTGGTCGTTGCGCCATGGGCAAGTACGTATCACCTCGTTCTTCATCTAGTGTTGTATTGCAAAATGCTGACCTTGAGCTTGTAGTTCGTCTCTGGGTCTTCGACCACTACAAGAACGGTCTCAATATCCCCAAAGAAGGCGAGGATAGTGCAGTCTGGTCACGATTCGACAAGTGGCTCAAAGCGATTGAAGAACGCCCTTCGGTGCGTGAAACCACAAGCGAAAAGGAGAAATACCTCAGCATTTATCAGAAATACGCCGATGATAAGGCACAGAGTGAGTTGGCAAAGGCTACACGTAAAGGTCGTGGTGTGCCTTGAGGAGTCCGTTTCAAGCAGATAGAGGACCATCCAATATTGATCGCGACACCTCACCCGTTGAAAACGCTCTACTCTCTTGCATGAACGAACACTGTTGATGACTGGTGCACACGATCGAGGCTTCCATTACCTACGGGCCTTCTAAAAGGTATCAAAGACTCGATTTCCGAACCAACTCCGAATGACCACGAGCACAGAAATTAGTAAAGATTGGAGACAGAGCACCTGCATCTCCTAGGCCCCATGCAAACATTATTCACAAGCAAGAAACCACTGTCTATCGCACAATTGCTGTCCATTCGTCTTATCTATAACGCTATCGGCAGCCAGCCCGCTGCGCGTTTTCGCCGCCAGACGGGAAATGATCGACAGTGTCTAACCCCACACCCCACCACCAATTCATTCACACCTTCTCCAACTGGTGATATTGAGCCTTGTCTCAATCGTGACTACCCCAACTTCTTATCGGGACACCTTGATGTGTGAACCATGATTCGCGTCGAACATGGGTGCAAGATTCACGAAAATGTGCAGTATCTTTGCCTCTCGAGCACGCTATCGGGACACCAGACAGACCTGGTAGCTGAATGCGATATCTTGCAGCCAGTAAGTTAGATATAATGTCGCTCCTTCCCCAGTTCTGGAGCAAAGATCAGCTCCTTCCTTCTAGAATTTTTTATACACAATGTCGTCTTCTGCCCAAATCTTGCCTGCTGGCGCTGGCTATGGAGTTGTTATTGGAGCCGGTTTCTTCTTTGCGTTTGTAAGTCTTGTTCTCAATTGTTCTAAAGAGTATACTTGTGCTAACACTGGTCACAGGTGATGATGGGAATCTCCCATCTCCAGAACAAATACACCCGGTTCAATACCAAGACCAGCGAGGAGTTTAACACTGCTTCTCGAAGCATTAAGCCAGGTTTGATAGCCAGTGGCATTGTGTCGGCGTGGACATGTGAGGTCCTAATTGTTACAGACTTTTCGAGGTCATGCTAATCATATTTTCGTAGGGGCTGCAACTTTGTAAGAGCTATACGATTTCGAAACGTCAGGAACATGTTATTGACTCTCATACTAGGTTACAAAGCGCTACTGTGGCATATCAGTATGGTGTTGCTGGACCTTTTTGGTAAGATCTCCCTTATCCCGCAAAAGAAGCACGCCAATTGTGCAGCTATAGAAATGCACAGTGTTCTTGAGATCAGGAGCCATTTCCCTTGAGAGACCTTATCTTCTCAGCTCTCTGTGGATATGAGCCTGATTTCATAACAATTCATGCATTGCTATAGCCCAGAAAATTGCCACATCTTACCAAGAGAGAGGAATCTGGACTTGAACCACTACTGACCTCGTGCAGGTATGCTGCTGGAGCCACGGTTCAGATCTTCATGTTCGCCATTCTTGCTTGTAAAGTCAAGATGAATGCACCTCGCGCTCACACATACCTCGAGATTATCCAGACTCGCTATGGACGGGCCACTCACCTCGTTTTTCTGTTCTTCGCCCTTGTCACCAACATCTTGGTCGGCTCACAACTGCTCCTGGGTGGCTCGGCCGTTGTGACCAGTCTGACTGGCATGAACGTCTATGCGGCTATTTTCCTGATTCCCGTCGGAGTATGCGCCTACGTCGTCCTTGGTGGTCTGAGAGCAACCTTCCTCTGCGACTACAGTCACACATTGATCTTGATGATCATTATCCTCTACTTCATGTTCAACGCATACGCCACCAACGACCTCATCGGTTCACCAGGAGAGATGTTCGAACTACTCAAGAAGGCAGCCGTGCAGAGACCAGTCGAAGGCAACATTCATGGTTCTTACATGACACTCAAGTCCAACTATGCCTTAATCTTTGGTGTGATCCAACTTTGCTCTGGTTGTGGTACTGTCTTTCTCGACCAGGCCTACTGGCAGCGTGCCATTGCTTCCCGACCCACAACTGCTGTAAAAGCATACATTCTGGGAGGCATTGCCTGGTTCGCTATTCCGTACGTCAAAATTCTCGAAACGAGTCTTGATTTTATTCTGACTGAGAGCTTAGTTTCGGTTTCGCTACTACTTTGGGTCTTTGCGCCGTGGCACTTACCGACAACCCTCGTTTCCCAACCTACCCTAATTTACCTACCAGCAGCGATATTTCCGCCGGTCTTGCAGCAGCATATTCAGCTCAAGCATTGCTAGGTAAAGGTGGCGCTGTGGCTCTTCTCATCGTCCTTTTCATGGCAGTCACATCATGTGCCTCGGCCGAGCTGATCGCTGTTTCCTCGCTGTTGACTTTCGACGTCTACCAACGTTACATCCGCCCAACTGCCTCTCCTTCGTCCTTGATTTTCGTCTCTCACATCATGATCTGCGTGTTCGGCCTGACCATGGCTGTCTTCGCTTGTATCTGGAATGCTGCTGGTGTTGATCTCGGCTGGCTGTTCTTGGTCATGGGACTTTTGATCGGTGGTGCAGTCTTCCCTGCTGCCTTCGCCATTACCTGGAGAGGGCAAACTGCCGCTGGCGCAATCACTGGTGCTGTTGGTGGCCTGGTTGTCGGTATTGCTGCCTGGCTTGCCGTTGCCAAAGTATACTTTGGCGAGATTACCATTTCTTCTACTGGAACCGAGTATGCCACATTGGCAGGTAATCTTGGAGCTGTGGCATCTGGTCTCATCCTCACTGTTGCGGTTTCTCTTATCAAGCCACAGAACTTCGACTGGGCCATTACTCGCAGTATCAATGCTGAGGCTGTAATGGTAGTCGAGTCACAACCTGAGCAAAGGCAAGAAGGAAAACACGATGCCGAGACCGCAGTAATAGAGCCCAGTGATGATGAAAAGGCACCAGCACCCGAGAAAGATACCTCTTCCACACCCTCACTTTCCGAGCCAGTACCTCAATCTCACCCAAGCACCGCCATCGCCGAACACGAAGACGCCGAACGCGCTGCCGACCGCCTCATCGAAGAATCTCCCAACTCCCTTCGCGGCGCTTTCAAACTCGCTTGTATCGCTTCCTTTGTCCTGACCTTCATCATGGACTTTTTGATTCCCATGCCCATGTTCTTCAGCCACTATGTCTTTTCCAAAGGCTTCTTTACTGGTTGGGTTATCATTAGCTTTATCTGGGTGTTTGTCAGTACGGCTATCTCCGTTGTGTTGCCTGTTGTTGAGACGGCTGGGTTCTTGAAGCAGTTTGCCAGGGATGTGTTTGGCGGGAAGAAGGGCAAGGCTTGAATGAATTGTGAACCATGGAGTTTTGAGTTACGAGGGTTATGATATATGACGAGAGAAGATAGATATGCTAGAATGCAGACCGCCAGATAGAGTTTATCACAGCGAATTCGAGGCAACACCAAGGTTGGAATGAAGCTGACCGTAAGCGCACACGTAATCTAAGATCTCCGATGTTGTCCCATCGTCCGTAGCTTTTCTCATGCAGATTTAGCGCCCAGGAGCTTGTTACACGACTTGACGGCTCGTCCTGAGGCGGTTACGGTCAACTCGGACAGGTCACTGTCTGCCTATACATATTACCCCCTCGCCGTAAAGTCTCGTTGCACGTGAAGCCCACTGCTTGGAATTAGACGAAGGAATGCCGGCAGCATGGCACAGTGATAGAAGGATGCTTTCCGCACAGACATGCAGTCCATCCGAGCAACTCTGCTAGCAACACGCCCGAGCTCCATCTTCGCGGCCTATTGTCTCGATGACTTCTGGTAGGGCTTTGGCCATAAAGCGTGGAAAGCGTCACATTGACAACAATGGGTCTAGCAACGCCGTCAGACCGCCGCCCCGTCGTTGTCTCTGGACCTTCGGGAGTCGGAAAAGGAACGCTGTGTAAAATGCTCTTCGAAGCACACCCAGGCACATTTGCCTCTACTACATCGCACACAACGCGCAAGTCCCGACCAGGAGAAGTTGAGGGCAAGGACTACTTCTTTGTCTCTCGGCAGAATTTCTCTGCCCTTGTCTCTCAGAACGCCTTTGTGGAACACGCAGTCTTTAGTGGCCACAACTACGGCACAAGCAAGCAGACTATTGCAGAACAGAACGCGAAGGGCCTCATAGTCGTGCTCGATATCGATATGCAAGGTGTTCAGCAAATGAGATCGGATCCTGACATTGATGCGCGCTATGTCTTCGTTAAGCCGCCAAGTTTTGAGACGCTCGAGAGGCGGCTCAGAAGTCGCAGTACGGAGAGTGAGGAAGACATCCAGAAAAGACTAGCACAGGCTAGGGTCGAGCTCGAATATGCCGACAAGCCAGGCGTACATGATCAAATTATCGTGAACGATGGTCTTGACAAAGCATATGCAGAATTCGAGCAGTTTGTGTACAAAGTATAATGTGCTTCTCCATGGGACCCGAGGAAGCGAAAGATGGTTGAATGGCATAATTTGTACCTGAAGAAGTAACTCACATTGCAAGGATCTTTTGGGATTGTTCTCGGATACTGCAATACCCAGATCTGATTCGGATGTCCTATGGGATATTCTCGATGTCCTCAGGCTGATGCATTCCCACTACCTGCGCCGCCCCTTCAGTTGGTATCGACCACGCAACTCTCCTCTCGATAAACTGTTCTACCTGCGGTCTCAATTTAGTCTCTGCCAAAGCAAGATCATCAACAGTCCCAGTACGCAAAATAGTCATCCCAGGAAAACGAGCACCGCGACGATACATCAGCGTTCCGCACGTCTTGCAAAAGTAATTCGTCATAAGCGCTCCAGCACGAATTGTTTTGTCCTCGCTGAAGGTTGTGAGGTTATCTTCGCCACGGATGTGTTTCAGATAGGAATCTGCTACAGTGATGTTGGATTGATAGAATGCGGAGCCGATCTTGCGGCAGTCGGTGCAGTGGCAGATGTGACGGTTGACTAAGCCAGGTTTTCGAAGAGGCTATGTGATTCTGTTAGGGTCGAAATTAGATTTGGAGAGAAGAGACTGGATCAACATGACTGTTCTCTTGAGAACTCACCAAGACCAGCTGTACAGCCCCACAGAAACAGGTCGCGGTAGCTTCCTCGTCGGTGGACCAGCCATCGTTGGAAAGCTGAATTACAGGGAAGCCCTTGTCGTCGAATGGAGTCATAGCTCGACAAGAACCAAGAGTTGCCTTATACAAGTTGGTGATACGATGCAAGGTATAGACTTTCAAGAGTGATCACGGAAATTGAGTAGCGAGGTTGGACAATATCCTCTCGAGATTGAGAGAGTGGTATAGATTTCTGAATATGCATACATGCGCCGGCTGGGGATGAGCAAGCTTATATGATGACCTTACTCCCCATCTCATAGAACAAACCATTGCAAAAGAGGGGTTTGTCATCGCTGTATAATCAAGTGATTACATAAGCTTGGGTCTTGACAGAGTGCTGACAGTGCATAGCTACCGTAGCTTACCTTGGCAAAACCTACCTGCGTCAATACTCCTGGAGCTCACTCACCTTCTACATTACCACGGACGGAAAGAACTATCACGAAGAGAGATGCAAAAAGGTAATGGCGCAGCCGAGATTCGAACCCGGGTCTCCTTGTTTACAGCTCAGGACCGTGATACCTACCGACACAATCGTGTCGACTGCACGGTATCAGATCCTCCTGTAATTTCTGCAAAGCGTCTTGAACCACTAGACTACCGCGCCGAATTGTTGTAAGAAAGACATTTCTATCAATTCTTGTTTGTTTAGATGGAAGGTGTGAAAGTGAACGAAGGAAGGTCTAACAGGCCTTGAGACACTACTTTGAGTTCGATGCATTCGGGCACTTGCCATTATAACTTCTTTTCTGACCACCTTCAACTCCTTACTTCACCAGTGTCATAGATTGGCGATTAAACGCCTTCGTCACGATGACTTTGAGTAGTATAGACATCCGACGTGACCTGAACTCAGTGCTTCCCTCTTTTATACACTTTTGCCTGGTGCTTTCGTCTCTTGTAACACTCTGTAGTATGCCTCTTCATTACCATTGAACTCAAGCCCACCTTCTCAACCCTTTACAGCAAAGGTTGTCTCGTTCCAGCCCCAGCGTCTATTCAGACGACTACCGAACGACCTCAGCCTCTCCTTACTCATGCTCGGCTCGGGATGAGGGCGGTGGAACACCATCGAGTGCTTCTGTCCATTCTGATATATGTGGGCGAAGGTGAAGCAAGAGCCGCCACCACCAGGCATGACTGAGCAGCCTGCCCCAGTCATTGCCGAAACGAAATTCGTCCAGTAGATCTCGCCTGGCGCACTAGGGTCTGCCGTGAACATACGCATGAACAAAGTCAAGCTCTTCGAGGACACCAGTATCGAGGAGGCCTGTGGGCTCGGAGGGGAGGCAACGAGTTCAGCGTCCAGTGTCTTGTCGTCGGTGGAGTAAGGCCAGTCAGATACCTGATAAGTGTTGCGAGATGTGGAAAGAAAGAAGAGTGAAAGAGCTCACGAGCTTGACCAGTGCAAACGCGAGCTTGCGTGTGTCAGGCGGCTTGCGGCGCTCTCAGATACCGTTTCCCTGACGATCGCGACAGCGACAACGACAAAGACTGTAATTGGCCATTCGTGCTACTAGGACCTGTGTTGGTATGCGCGTACCCGGTAGTCTCTAAATTGTGTAACACCACGGCTTCGTTTACACAGGCTTTTAACACGGGGACCATTTGAGCAAACATGAAGATCCACCTCATCCTCCGTAATTAAGAAAGCTCATTTTGCCCGTTCTGGCATTCTTTCCATAACCCACCTGCACCAGACTCATGACAATATTATCGGCATGACAAGCTGCCGAAATGGCCATCGAACAGGTTCCCAGTACAGGCATGGCGGGATGAAGTCTTCTTTCCAATCCAAATGTCAAAGCGCATAGCATCAAGAAACCTAATCCCAAAGCCAGAACCCCAGAAGCTGTCGAAATCCCATAGGTGATTCGCTGATGCGAGTACTTGCCCATGATGTCGTAGGTTTGTATAGCGACGACATTGAGAGCCCTCGTCGTGAAGAAGTGGATCAGGATTAGAGCAATGATAAGTATTGCAGAGAAACGGGGTTTAATGCTGAGATGATACGTGCTCTGAGCATCTTGTACTGGCAAAGTCACGCGTAAGCGTCCTCGAATCTTGACGAAGGCGTTCAACTCGGCAGCGGCAAGCATACGAGACCAAAGGTGGTTGTACAAGAGATATGTCATCGAGATAGCAAGGTGGATGGAGCCAAGGCCAAGAAGGTTGGCAAGAAGTCCTTGGTTAGATGTTGGGGTCCGTAGAGTAATTGATCGATAGTTCGATAGCTCGTCGTTGTTGTACACGATCAGGACTGCGGTCGCAAAAGCAAAGAATGCAAGAAAGAGGCAGTTTATGGACAGAGCACAGGTCTCGGTGTCGATAGCTGCCCGCCAGACTGGCCATTTGCGTCTCCACATGCTAATATCTTTATCAGATCTCCGAAAGCCGAACTTGTCGAACTTAGATTCTGGTGCATGTACTGAAGGAATGGCCAGTATTCCATTTCTCGAGGTCGACGAGTCTGGGTGTGTCAGGAAGCTAGCTACAGCATCTCCAACAGTGGCTCATGGGCGTCAGCTCAGCATCAATGACAGGTGGATATTTTGACATACCGAAGGGCTGAAACCTGATTGATACTAGACTAGCCAAGCACACGAGTTCCACGAACAAGCAAACGATGATGCCAACGAGGACTCTAGTATCGATACCCACACCACACTCGGGCTCAAATGTCTGAGCGAGGCAGTATTCAACAGGGTAAGAAATTGCCGTACAGTAATAGTCCCACACAGGGACGTGCCAAACGTCGTCAGTCCCGAAATCGAAGTCCGTGTCAAGACAGTTTTTGTGGAAGACGGAGGCTAGACCGTTCGTGTTGAACCAATCTATCTCATGTACACCCTGATACTTGGGACTCGCAACCATCTCCGGATATTGTAGTTCACAGTCGACGAGACCATCCAGTGTATTGCTGGCATTGGATGAACTTATCAGCAGTACATTGGAAAACCGAGGAGGCATCTGCAAGGACGAGTATGCAGTTCGACATTCGGCTGGCGATAGACGGATCAAGCTTGTCGATTCGACCCGCATCTGCTCGAGCAAGGTATCAAAATTGATTGTTGTAAGCGCTAATTTTGCTGATAACGAAACGGTATGATATTGTTCCGCCTTTGTGAGGAATATAGACTGTTCTGATGCTGCATCTAGTCGAGATCCTTTGAGGTAATCCGCAGTCACGAGAGATGCAACTCGGTCCGTTGTTGCCAAAGTTTTGAATATCATGCAGTTGTGGCTTCCGCAGGATCAGCTCAAGACGGCGAGACTAATGTTCGGACAAATGTAACTCACAGAAGGGGCAAGAGTATGGAGGTTGCTGCCAGCAAAATTGCTCGTAAAAGTCTACGCTTAGAAACCCATTTCATGTTCCGTAGTCCTCCAATGCCTATATGCACCCATCGATCTCGCGAATGAGCATTTTCGACTTCTTCTCTAGTCGGTGAAAGCAGAAGTTGAACTCCATGTGAGCCCGCTGCAAAGAGCAGGACACCGAAAGTACATGCGGCGAAGTCGGCGTACGCTCCCGTCCTTGATGCTTGGTAACATGTTCCGCTGAAAAGCCTTGCTACGCCATTGATGAGGTGCAAGTTATTGTGTATCCATATCAGGAACGCGAGATATGTGACCAGTGACAGACCAGCGAAAATGGTGTTAACAATGACGATGATGCGCCATGTAGGATGCCTATGGGTGACCGAAACGTGATGAATGAGCCTCTCTCGACCGTCATCCATGATGTTGAGATGGTATTTGGAGTTCACTCTACGGCAGAAGTCGCAGATGATGCCAAAGATGGCATGTGGTGTCACGACTTGTCGTTCAAAGTCGAATGTTGAGGAAGATGAGCAGACAAGTACATTTTCCTCGGTCAAGACAACTCGTCAAGTTGGATGACTGGTGGCTGAGTAGGATCAGGCTGGCATATTGCATGGGTTGCAACATGGTGATTGGCCGCTTTGCCGCCAAGATGCGACTGCCTATTGGTGGTATACACATGCAAGCCATATCTACTGTACGGTAACAGAGGGACGAGCCGCGGACCCTACATCAGTCTAGTAAGTCGACGAGGGGCTTGCATCGTTCTGCGCTGGAAGGCCTCGTGATCATGAGTGCGATGTTCGGTGTCTATACCTTTGCGGGGCATCGTGTGATCAGACTACCCATCATGGTAGAATCCATGATGGATAGACTCCTCAAACCCAGACCTCGATCATACAAGTCTTCAAGCAATGTTTCTTCTTCCAAGGTTTGCCCTGGAAAGAGCAAGCAAAAAGGAAGTCGCTGGACGCCAGCTCAAGGTCGTTCTTGTAGGTTCTCATCATGACGTGTTTTGCTGTTGCCAACCTCGGCTAGCCGTACCTCTGCACCTTCTGCACCGCACACTCAACTTCCTGCCTTCGCCGTCTCTCTATACAATTGAACATGCAAGCAGACATCACGAAGTCATTGCAAAGCGGACAGCTCTAGCAGCCTTTGATGTAACATCCAATGGAGAGACAAATACGATCGACTGCCATTTCAGCCGGCAGCAGGTCGGCACGGTTGATGGACTCTCTATAGACTTTCCCCGCCATGAAGAAGGATCGACTTGCTTGCATATCATTTTGCGGAGAGGGGTTGGGGTGGAGTCGTGATTTTATCCAAGAGCCGAGACATATCGAGGGCAAGAAGAGACAAGCGATCGCTGAACAGCGAACTATAAAGGTAGGGGTTTGACAACTTGAATCCTGATCTCTTTCCAAAATATCAATGGCCAAGATGCATCCTACTTTCATTCTCATAGCCTCTCTCCTGGCTGTCAGTGCTCTTGCATTGCCAACACTCGATGATGGTATGACAGTCCAAACATCTTCTGGCCTTGTGTACGGAAGTAAAGACCCAGAGTTTCCCAATGTTCGTCAGTTCTTTGGCATACCCTTTGCACAACCTCCCACAGGGGAACTCCGCTTTGAACCTCCTCAACCTTTGTCGGTATCTGCTTCGAAGAAGACAATCAACAATACCGAGTTACCGCCAAGTTGCATGCAATATCTCAATACTGTAAGCCCTGGTGTCTACGTTGATCAGATCCTTGAGTTTGGTCTCCAAGGCAAGAACGGCACAGGAGCCATCAGTGAAGACTGCTTGACTTTGAGCGTGTGGGCTCCAACTAGCAACAGCAGCCAGTCTTGCCAGAGTAATGAGCTGCTTCCAGTCCTCATCTGGATCTACGGAGGTGGATTTGTCACTGGAGGTCAAGACGTTCCCTATCAAATTCCCAGTCAATGGATTCAGCGAACACAAGATCATATTGTGGTTGCCATCAACTACCGTCTCAACATCTTCGGCTTCCCGAATGCGGCAGGATTGACCGACCAAAACGTTGGTCTGCTTGACCAGAGAGCAGCAGTCGAGTGGGTGCGTGACAACATTGTCAGGTTTGGGGGTGACCCCTCACGCATGCTTCTCTGGGGTCAGTCAGCTGGTTCAGCCAGTGTTGACTACTACAACTATGCCTACCCTAAGGATCCTATCGTGTCTGGCTTTAGCATGGACTCTGGTACAGCCTTCATTGGCATCACTTCCAATGATCCTCAACACACTAACTTTACGTTTGTCGCTTCTCAGCTCGGTTGTGCCAACTCCTCTTCTCCCGCTGACGAGCTCGCCTGTGTACGCAAGCTCCCAGCCTCAACAATTGAAGATTTCGTCAAGAATTACGAGGAGAACGGCACCACACCTTCCATTAGTTTCCTTCCAACGCCCGATGAGAAGATAGTCTTTAGCAACTACACCGCCCGAGCACTAGCAGGACTGCAAGCAAACTTGCCAGCTATCATCGGCACAAATGCACAAGACGGTGTACCATTCGCTCCTTACAATCCTTCCGGCCCCAACGCTACACTTGCGCAGTATGCACTTTTGACGACCTTCTTCTGCCCTGCCACAGAGTCTATCCGTTTGCGCCAACAGACCAACCGCCCAACTTACCGTTACGTATACAGCGGTAACTTCTCGAATATTTCGCCCTCAGGTTGGCTAGGTGCTTACCATTCTTCCGAGCTGCCTTTGTTGTTCGGCACATTTGACAACTTCAGAAGCCAAGGCCCTGTATTGGAGAATCAAACTAGTGTTGCCATGCAAGATGCTTGGGTCGCTTTTACAAAGGGTGGCATGACTGGGATCGAGCAGACCGGGTGGCAGGAATATGAGATGCTTGGCGAGAGTACAGTGAGAGATTTCGGAGATGGAGTGGCTGTCAAGGATGTCGATTTGAAGTATTTGGAGAATCTCTGTGATGGGGCGAAGCCTAACTATAGCGTTTGAGATGGTTAGTGATGAAGATAATGTTCTTCGGATGAGGTATATGCGTTCGCGATATGATTGATGAATCCTGATTATTGTGTGCCGTTCTGATGCCTTAGTCCTTACAGTTGACTTTGTACCATCTCAGTCCTTTCCACACGCTTCACAGGCTTGCTACTTTTTACCTCATCATCTGCACCCCTAATGATACTCTCCACAACTTCAGCTACTGCCAACAACCTCTCCTCTCTCAGCCTTTTACCGACTAGCTGCAGATTCACTGGCGCATCTTTGTACTTCTCCGCCCCACCCTCGTCCCAGAACTTTCTGTACATGGCATCCTTATCACCCGTGACATCTGGCGTATCTTGATCCCAAGTATCTGTCGGCAAAACCTTTGTGACAGGGAAGACCACACCAGGCAGATCTGTAGCATTAAACACAGCAGTGTACCCCCAGTACTTGCTTTCGTCGTGTGCAGAAGCCACAGAAGCGTTGACCGGGGACAACAAAGCGTCTATACCTGCTTCTCTCCATTGCAGAGAGAATGCTGTTCGCAAGCGGTCACGCAGGGAGTTGAGTTCCCAGGTCTGCTCGACAGTGTGGCGGGTTGGTGTCGCGCTGTCTATGAGCCATTGGATCAAGGGGACTGCTGGGTCGGAGTCTTGTGTCAGAGTAGATGTGTACTCCTCTGCGCCGTCGAGGAAGTATGCTGTATTGATCCATTCGAGTAATGCGGTGTGAAGATTTGGATCCCACGTCACTACTTCATGACCTGCTTTACGAAGTTTGTAGACTGTCTCTTTGAGTGCGCGTTGGATGGGTGGGTGAGGCATCACTTCTCCATCGTGCCATAACACGCCTATCCTCAGCTTCTTCGGTAAAGTCTCAGGCGAGTCGTTTCGCCATGGCAGATCGATGAGGCTGGGTTCGAAGTCCCAAGGTTGTGCGTCCAGGGCCACTTTACAGAACAGACGCAAATCGGCAAGCGAGTTTGCCATAGGGCCAACACAACCGATGATGTTTTCCATACCGGCATGCAGGCCGCTGAGGCCAGAGTGAGGAATTCTGGCCACAGAGCACTTTAATCCCCAGCCTCCGCAGAAGCCACTGGGACCACGAATGCTACCACCAATGTCTGTGCCAATGCCCAAGGGTGACCCTCTCATAGCTACCAGTGCAGATTCACCCCCCGAGCTTCCTCCTGAGGTAAGGCTGGTGTTGTAAGGATTCGTCGTACGGCCAAAAAGATTGGAATGTGTTTCAAGAGCCATAAGGGTCTGTGGGTTCGTAGTTTTGACGTGAAAAACTGCTCCTGCTTCTCTAAATACTTTGCAGATCAGAGCATCACCAGGACTAGGCGCATCTGCCCAAGAGATCAAGCCTGAAGTCGCTGGCGTGCCCTCTAGGAAGATGTGTTCTTTGACAGAGATAGGCAAGCCATGAAGGGGACCAACTGGCTTGTTGTGCTTTTCCATGTAGTTGTCTAGCTCTTTCGCTCGCTCGAGAGCAGAGTCAAACATGATGAAAGCGAGACAATTGGTAGCTTGATGAGCAAGAGCAGCTCGCTTGCAAAATGCCAGGGTTACTTGGTAAGACGTCCATGTCCTGCTGTGAATGTGAGACAGAATATCCACAGCTCGTTGTTCGGTGATGAAGAGCTCTTCCTCAGACATGATAGAATCACACCTTCTAGGCAGTTCCATAAAGTTATGGCCACGAAGAAGCTCCTCGCCAACTAGCCATGCCGAGGGAATTGCATCAAAGATCTGTTTCTGCTTCCTGGCGGCAACGTGATGCCACGATGGACTTGATAACTGTGACATAATCTCAAATGCCAACAACTGACACGATGAAGAGGACCAGAGGAAGAGAAGAAGATAAGGAAGATGATTCCAAGTGAAAATGACAAAGAAAAGACCACCAGGGCAAGACTCTACCTTTTATAGACCCTTGAACCTTGATACTACGGGACCCCTAACGGCAGAGGTACGCCGAAACTCAGCTGTTCAGCCATTATCAATCGCAATCTTTGGAGGACCCAGGTCGGGCGATGATAACCACAGCCATGCAGATGAAATGTGGAGCGGTGTATGCGCTGGCTGAGCGGAAGAAAAAGGTAAGTGCGAACCGAGGGCTTCGGTTCGCGCTACTCTCAACGATGATATAAGCTCGGACACATCTGATAAGACAGTGTCAGCGGATCAGATAGAAGGTTGGTCGGACTGCAAGTGGCATCACATCCAATTATGAAAACATCCTGCATTTCTACAGTTGGTCAAAAACACTACTTGCACTTCGAGACAGACTGTACATCGATCGACCCTCTCCCACATCCCAACTTGACTTACACCTCCAAACCATACTATAAAAAGTCATGGTAACATCCGGATCTGATATACATCCATTGAGAGCCCGACAAAGGTGGTCATTATCTGGGGCTCCCAGTGAACAAAGTGGGAAATGTATAATCATTCTGCATTTTGATAGATACCGGAAAACGCAACATGCAACTTGAGATGAAAGCAATTACATGCATCTCAATTTCGAAGGGTACATAAAAGCATACTATAAAAAGTCATAAACTAATCCAAACTTGCTGCATGTCCAGTGAGAGCCCAATAAACATGGTCACTATTCCAAGCTCTCAGTGGACAAACTCCGAAACATATAGACATTCTGCATTTTGATAGCTAGCCAAAAACATAACATGCAAGTTGGGATAAAGAAAACGACATCTAGAAATCAGGGGCACAAGTGAATAAGTCAAGTGAAAGAGAACATATCACGACAAACGACACACGACGAACAGCAAACATGTCACGACAGCAAACTGAAATGTAAAAGTGAGAGCAAGACTTGTGAATTCACTGCCTAAACGCCGCTATACAACAGCGAGAAACGACCCGAAACGACGCCAAACGCCCCAGAATCCAGCCCGAAAGAAGCGCTTAGATGTCGTCGTGGTCACCGCTAGTAGCGGCAGAAGCGACGTTAGAAGGAACGTCGGACTCGCCCTCAGCGTCGACGTCCGAAGAAGCATCGTCGACTGCCATCATGATGTCAGCAGCAGGGTCGACGGCGTCAGGGTCGTTGACGACGTAAGTCTCGACGACGGGGTCGACGGAGACGACAGAGGTGACAGTGGTCGTTTCGACAGTCTCGACAACAGGCTCAGCGGTGGGAATGTCAGTCTCGACCTTGACACGCTTGGTGTCGTTGGCGAGCTTGTCGGAGTCGTCGGCAGGCTCGACGGCAGCGCGCTTGAGGGTGTTGGCGGGAGCATCCTGGGTTGTACGTTAGCATGAATCGACAGACGAGCAGCCATGAACTACATACCTCAGGAGCAGCGGCAAGAACCTCATCAACAACGACGCGCATTTCCTCCTCGGTAGGGTAGGTAATCTTTCCTCTCTTCAGGGTGATAGGACGCTTCTTGGCAACCTCCTCCTCAGAGTCGCCAGAGGACTCATCCTTGATGGAAGGCTTGCTGGCCTTCAGAGAGTTGCGGGCGCTACGGCGAACGTTGGCAGGCTGAGTGACAGCAGGCTTGCGCTTTGGCTTGGACTTAGCCTTGACAGCGATGGTCTCGGTCTCATCGTCCTCGTCGGTCTCAGGTTCTTCGGTCTTGGCAGCGACAGCCTTCTTGCCGCGGGCCTTCTTGCTGGCCGAGGGAGCGACGGGAGTGTCTTCGGCGTCGGCTTCGGCGTCTTCAGCAGCACCACCATCGGCGTTGTCAGCATCATCATCAGCTTTGCCGATCTTGCCCTTCAGCTTGTGAAAGGCGGTGTTGGCCGAAGCACGAGTCTTGTAGCCGCTGAGGGTAGCGAACTTGTCGAGGTCGACCTGTAAGACAGTAAGTACGATGCCATGGTGTGTGTTTGTGAATCTCGGGGAATGTGGTGAGGACAAGTAAGTGGCAGTAAGGGGTGAGGAGATAAGGCCATGATAGCAGAAGGCCCAGATAGCGTCAAGGCGCAGACCTTAACTTACCTCAGGAGGGTTTTTCAGGCATTGGAAGACGAAGACAAGAAGTTCCTGCTCGCGATCGGAAAGATTGGGAGTGGGAGTCATGGTTGATGATTGTTACTTGATGCGTATTCGTCAAAGAGGATGGGAAGTATGATGGAGAACGAGATGTACCAAGAAGTGGTGCGAGTGTGGTATGCAAAAGGTAGAAGAGATTGAATCTGCGCCAGCTCAAATACTCGTCTGGTAGTGAAAGCAGCTGGCTTGTTATGATATTCACCGTGGACGGCGATGGCAGATGCCGGACGGCGCTGAGTGGCTACCTCGCTGTCGGTAGCGGGCCCGTAGTCGCCGGACGAATCAACAGGTGGTAATATGCCAGGCGGTGGGAGAGATGACGACGACATGCCAATTCTCCGTGGCCGTCACTCGACAGTATCGTCACTTTCTTGATGCCCTCGCGCTGACGGCATTCATTGCTCGGAGCCGTCAATCTGTCGCTACTCTCCATGCTGTAAGTGCATCTGTGGTATATCTTTGATGCAAAGACCTGCTGTCCATTGACGAGACAAAAGACTTCAGCCCCATGAGAGATACATAGAACTCCTCCCGTCACTTCCCTTGTGAATTGATGAGGAGGTCGGGCATGACCTGTGCATATCTGGCGTCGTGATATTGCATTGCAGTGACGCCCTGTAGTCAAGGGAGGTTCGTATGGGTCAGGAAAGTCTGAGAGTGACTTGCATCTATTTTCTTGCAGATCACGCCTCTGACAGACGTACGTGGGAAGAGATTGATAGCCAGAAGAAAGTAAAGACGAATAAAGTCTGTGATTAGTACATTTCAAGCAGAGAGAGAAGCCCATGGGGTTGATCGTAAACGAGATTGCATTTCTTTTTCTGAAGTTCATAAAAGTAAGGAAGTAACAACCTTGGGTTTGCAGCCGCGAGTTCCTTGGTAAGACTTTCCTTTTTTGGCGACAATCGCTGGGTCTGTTTCGACAACACAGCGAGTCTTGACCATACGTGTGGTCTGGGGTAGTATCCTCGCGCAAATGCTGGACACAATCGATGGTATCATTGACGTTCTGGCCGTCTTTTTGTTCCAGGACAATTTTCGAGTCGAGGTCGCGTCCGAGCGATGATTGTTCTTAGTCCGGCTCATGTTTTTTGGTTGATCAGAAGCCTCTGCCACGACCTCTTCCACGGCCACCACGACCGCCGCCCATGCCACGTCCTCTGCCGCCACCTCTTCCTCCGCGACCGCCTCTGTCAGCGGCCTCCTTGCGAGCCTTGTTCTTGGGCTTGGGAGCGTCGTCAATCAACAGTGTATCGAGGGGTAGCGAGTCGGGTAGGATGTAGTAACGGATTGTTGCGCCGCGAATGTTCATGGTATCCAGGCTGATGGTGTCGCGACCTTTGGGAGTCATCTTGACTGTTCGCAGAGCTGTGTTCATTTGTGGAGAGACTGATGCGATGGTTCCGTGGACGATTGTGCCTTGAATGAGGTGTCAGTACTGATGTTGACCGTGCGCGATTGCTGTAGACGAACCATTCTTGAGTTCGATAGTGACCGTCTCATTCTGGCACTTCATCAAAAACCTTGGAGGAGTTAGCTGTGTTGCGACAAGTTCAGAAGGCGCATCGATGAGTGATGGCGGCATGAGAATGTACCTGACGAGCTTCATGTTGGGCGCACTGGTTCAATTAAGAAATGCGCGCTTGTTGTGAAAGTACTATGGACAAGATGAGGTAGTTGGTTGCTGGTTGATGCTTGCTGCTGCCAGTCGCGTTCGCAGTCGTTCTCAACTCGGCAACTGGCGCTGTGACGCTCCTTCCACGGCCGCTTCTTGGCACCATCCTCACCGACGACGATCACGTGGAACCTTGATGAATGCTTTATGATGCTAGGACAAAATAATGGATGTCAGGATAAGTCTATTCAACCTTTCAGTGTGTAAGAGCACGATAGTAGTGTTGCCATCTTATAGCTCTAGCTGTCTAGCGGGAGAATGCTATCTACGAGCGTGAGGGCAGGCCGCCAGAGTATAGGCAGGCAAGACTTGACAATGCAATACTAGAAAATTGTGGAAAGAAAGATGTAAGATGTCAAGGTGTTGAATACCTTGTGTAATGCGATTGCTCTCGAGGTGGGTATATTCAGGAATGCTTCAAAACCAAAACTCCATTCGACCCAGGCCATGCCAAAATGCTACATTAAACAAATCATTCCTCATCAACCTTGATCCACTCGCTATCGGTGCCAAAGTCGTTCGAAGAAGCACTCAGGTCACTAGGGATGTTGCGTTGTCTGCTCTCGCCTTCAGAGGGCTGCAAGCCTGTCGTACCGGCTGAAGTCGTCGAAGCCGTGCCGCTCTTGAATTCGTTAAGAATCTTGGATCTGATCTGCTCGTCTTGCTGGGTTGGCTTGAAGTCGAGTTCGGCATTTGGCACTTTGACCTTGACACCAGCGGCAGTCTCAACTTCGGTCTCGGTGGCTTCGTCATCGGCCATGTCTCCGGGTTGTGAACTAGACTTCTTTGGCGTGCTGCCTGTGGATCTGGCCTTTCTGATGCGCTCGGCCTCGGCTTCTTTCTGCTGAGCTTGCTGCAGTTCATAAGCAAACCAGTTGATGGCCCACCAGAGACCGGCACACAGGATGCTGAGAATGAAGAAGTGGATGCTGTAGGTAGCGGCGAGCAGACCGGCCAGGACAAGCTGGAGAGCACCAAAGGTGATGTTTGTGGCGAGCAAGAGAGTAGGAGTAGGACCAGGGGTAAAGACGGCGTCCCAGAGGTTGGTTATGAAGTCGGCCATGTTGAGGAAGAGTATGCGAGCGTTGTAGAGAAGATGGCGGGGTTCTTGAGTGTGGATGCGAGGATGCGGAATGAGGCAGGTTCGTAGATTTGGTTGTTTCTGCGACGGGGTAGACGAGAAGACACAGGTAGAGATGTACAGTGGTTGGACAGGCAAGGCGCCTGCTGGATCGTCCAGGTGAGCAGAGAATGGGCAGATGTTCTTGTTCGCAGAAGAAAGAACAATCAAATGCTCAATCATGCACCCCCATGTTTCGCGGAGATGGCCGGTGCGCGTGACTTCATGAGCCTGACAACGACAGGATCATCCACCGCCTCTTCAATTACAATATCCAAACGCTCTAGCATTGAAAATCGTTTCAGCCCCCAGCTATTCCGTCTATCCGCCAGTCGTTGCACCAAGGGAAGCTGACTTGGTATGTCTCGCGTGTCTTGAGCAAATCGCATCTGCTACGCCAACACGCCTAGCCATCGACAACGACTGATTTCATGCTGAGGACATTTTCAACATAATCTTCTCATCATGGCCCAGTCGGCTGTCAAGACTTTCTTAGACTCCAAAGGTCTGTCTGCTACATCAGCATGGATTGAGTCCTTCGTCAGTTCCAGCCGTCAAGGAACCCCTCTACCTGCTCTGCAGAAAACGGCTCTATTTCGTATACTGGCCTCGGATATCACATCGTCAATCAAAGCTTCACCGACAAACACGCTTCCACCAAATGCTCTCAATCCTACAGTTAAAGAACTTCGTGTGCCAGATAGCATACCCCTCCAGGTTCTTGACATTGAAGACATAGGACGCAGCGCTTGGAGCCAAGTTGAAGCTATTGAGGCTCAAGAACGTGGCGAAACCACAAAAGGCAGGGAGGTCATTCGTGTCGTGCCTGGTGAGGAGGCCGACCCAGACAGAGATGGCACTACTCCAATCACGAAGAGCAACGGTCCTCACAAGCTACTTCTACAGGATGCCAAGGGAACAAAAATCTACGGCTTTGAAGTTACCGACGTCGATGGCATCGACTTAAACCTGGGCATTGGCGCAAAACTCATATTGAAGAATATGACAATTGCCAGAGGCGTTATCCTGCTTGAACCTACCAGTACCCAGCTCCTTGGTGGTAAGGTTGATGTATGGGACAAGGCTTGGAGAGCTGGCAGGAAGGAGGCTTTAAAGGCTAAGGTTGGTCCAAGAGAAGAAGAACTCTGATGAGACGACCGCACTATCTTGGGTCGAAACGCCATCATCACCACACAAAGCACGCATGCATGTGGTATTCGATGTTTATTCCTGTAATCAGGACCGGTTCGTCTCGCAACAGTCACGTTTAGACCGGGAACGAAACAGTAGAACTATCGAAGTCATGCACAGGGTATCATCAATGGTTGGTCGTCTAGTCTTTCTTGTCAGGAATCTGGCCAGTCGCGGCCTGGAACTCTGGATCGTTCTCCTCCAGCTCTTGCTTTCTGATGGCTTGCATGAGCTCGTACATCTGGGCAATCTGCTCGTCTGTCAAGCTGTCAGTATAGCCATGGTTGAGGAAAGGTGCGAGTGGACGGACCGCTCATCTTGTCAATCTTTGCCTTGTCCATCTTCTCTCCTCTCCACTTCTCGCCCTCAATCTGTTGTGCGTATCCTTGCCATTCTGTGAGGAACCCGATCTACTCCATGTCAGACGATTGCCCTTCTCTGGCCCAGCTTGGCTTCCTTCCCAGAGCTCTTTCCGTAGGGGTGGCTTACGATATGAATTGGGTTGTCGACATTTCTGTGTGCCCGGAACTCGCTCTTGACATATTCATCTCCCAACACACGCATCTCTGGAGGCAGGTGCTTTCGGTGTCCACGAAGTAGGCGTCGGTAGAGCGGAATCGGTGGGAGAAGGGCGTGAGGAACGACACCGAGACCGCCGGAGGGCGTACCAACGGTACTTGCTTTTGCTAGGAGGCGTGTAGCTGCGCGCATGATTCTATACTAAGTATCTCTGCGAATTGGGTGGTTCAAATAGCGGTCGCGATACAAAAGATGGTTGCGTCACTCCAGACTGCCTCGGCTTTCGCCGATCGCAAACTCTCCGCAGACACCCCCGAAGCTTGTCATTGTTTTCCGATCCAGTTTATCTTCTGCAAAACAATAGCACGAAAGATGCTTCCTACGCCAGACACGTCGCACGTCGACTACGACCAAATCTACGAACCCGCCGAAGACTCATATCTCCTCCTTGACACGCTATCCTCGCCCTCAGAAACCGCTTTCCTGCATTCGCACTTTCGCTCCAACCATGCCCCGCTCGTAGTCGAGGTCGGCACTGGCAGTGGTGTCGTGCTCGCTTTCCTCGCTGCCAACAGCTCTACCATCTTCAATCGCTCCATCTGCACTCTAGGCACCGACCTCAATCGCCGAGCTTGTATCGCTGCATCAAAGACTGTGCAAAAGGCCTGCGACAACAAAGCTGCGCCTTTCTTGACTGTCGCCAATGCTGATCTGACCTCAGCACTTAAAGACGGAGAGGTTGATGTGTTGGTGTTCAACCCACCATATGTCCCTGCCGAACTGCCGGACCTCAGTTTGCATGCAAAATACAATACTGCGGATGTTTTGTCTTCGTCTGAGGCATTCGATCGCGACTCACATCTTCTGGCATTGAGCTATGCTGGTGGTGTCGATGGCATGGAAGTCACAGAGCGTTTGCTGGATGATATACCACGTGTCTTGAGTCCAAGAGGTGTTGCATATGTCTTGTTTTGTGCTCAGAACAAACCTGAAGAGATCAAGAGTAGGATCAGACAATGGCCTGGTGGCTGGGAAGCTGAGACTGTGGGCAGTTCAGGCAAGAAAGCTGGTTGGGAGAAGTTGTGCATCGTCAGAATCACGAGGACGACAGCAAACTGAAGAGAAGGAACATTCAAGATTCAAGGATATCTATACAATTCAATTGCCCAACTGCAATCCGGAACGCCATACCGACACTTTTTTCGAATCAATCCTTAGATCGACAAGTTCTTGCAAGAGAATGCAGGACGTGTGCCACCCGAGTAATCAGAGATGATAGCCTCGACAGCAGCATACAATCCAGGTCCCAGCAAGAAAAGTCCGCAAATCATGACAAAGACATGGATAACAGTCATGACGCTTCTGGAAGCGCTGCTGAACAGCTTTCCACTGTACATCTGCCAGTACGCCACAGCGAAGAAGATGAATCCGAAGAAGGAGTCGAAGGCAGCACCGAGCAAAGACAAGAAGTCACCCATGCTAGGAACAACCTCGGAGAAGATAAAGGCGATGGCCCAGATTCCTGCCATGACGGCAACCCAAGCTCCCCAACCAATAACGGTGTTGGAGTGAGCGTGGCGCGACTTGCCCATGATACGGTGGTACACGAACTTCGCGGATACGTTCGCGTAAATGACACCGATAACCAGAGTTGGCACAATGACAAAGGCAAATGAAGCCTTCTTGTAAGCCACAACACCAAGAGATCCGAATGCAGGGGCTGTGGCGTACTGTCCGAGGTATCTGAAGCCAATGGCCGGAGGAATGATGAACAGGAATCCGGAAACACCGGCCAGAACAGCCAAAGCCTTGGGGAAGTCTTGAGGCCTCTCCATCTCAGAGATGAAAGTAGGGAAAAGAATCTGCGGCACCCAAAGGAAGGTTATGTTCAAAACTGCATTTAAACAAGCAACCCACGTAGTTCCAGCAGGAGGGAAAGCATATGTCTTGACCTTGCCAGCCTTGGGGTATGTGCCATTGTATCCATATCCAGGAGCGTCCTCAATACCGGCAAAGATGAGGAAAAGCAGAATGGCAATGCCCATACAAGCAGCACTGAACATGCTCATGAAAGAGACATGCTTGAGTGTGCGAGGCACCGACATAATGACTCCCATAATAGTCACAATGACCGAGAAAACCACAGTACAAAGACTGTGATCACTCAGCGTATTGAGGATCTTTGCTCCGGTCAAGACGTGGAAGCCAATAAGCAGGATGTTGTTGGCAAGAAGCATGAACCCAGTAAACTCATAAGCAAGTCTACTCTTTCCGAACGCAAAATATCCAAAGTCGCAAATATCTCTGATGGACGGATTCTTCATGATGAATTTGTGCATAGTAATCGAGGTAATCCAGAAGAGGGCTCCAGAAACCAGCATGGTGATAATACCAGGGACCCAGCCGAGAACAGAAAGAGACCAGGATTGGGCCATAATGGCTAGACAGACTTGGTCGCCGCAGAGCAGCCAGGCGGCTTTTTGCCAACTCATGGTGCGAAGTTTGATTTCGTGGGTGTGGTCTAAAGGAGATTGTCAGTCTTCTGAGATAGAAAGAGGGAGAATTTATCAGGGGTGGGTGGTAGGCGTACCTTCATTTACCAGAGCGGTAATGGTATCGATGGAGGAAGCGCCATCGCTGGGGACATCTTGGATTTTGGCATCATACACCTGTTTCTCTTCGAAACCTATATCGTGTGTTGTTGCCATCTTGAAAGAAAGATCAACTTCAATCTCTCAGAGAAACAGAAGGGACAGAATAGAAGCAAAAGATCTACAGAACAAAAAAGAAGGGTCGCTCCAAACGCAGGGCAGGATCTACAGGGTTTATGTATCCTGCATTCTGCAGACCATTTCACCTTTTCAGTTCTTCGACTGTTTCTGGAATCATTCTTTTTGTGGGTTGGGATTGACTTTGATTGGATACCCTTGTATCTGATTGCGATCGAGAGCGATAAGAGTTTCGTTAAAAGGATCCTATGGCAACGCATATAGATGGCGTGCTTGAAGACGTGCTAAGGTGTAAGCGGTCAAGCCTTTACCGGGGTCCCCGAGGTTGAGGCACACGGTTTGCTCTAGAACCGTTCGTGCTAGCGAGAACACTCTGGGCGTGCACGACGGGAACATGCAAGCTAAAGTTAAGCCTCAAAAACGTGATTCTTGTAGACCGTCACCGATATCTTGGGTTGGGCTTGGGTTGTGGCTTGCGTGGGTCTGGGGGTGGTGGACTCGATCAGCGACTTTTGGTTGGACGCATGGAATTTCAACAAAACAATTGATCTTTCCTTACAACATGTCAAAAACTTGGAGATGTTCGCTGTCTGGTTTCTCAAATATTATCGATTTTTCAATTCGTATATATCGTATGCGTGCCGCAAGAAAAATGTTTGTTCTTCAGCACTGTCCTCCATCGAAACCTTGATGGTTGCAACTTGCGGCACGCAGGAAAAACGTGGGTGTGGGAGGCCGCTCTGTCCTGCCGCCAAACTCTAGCGAAAGGGTTGAGAAGCATGCGAGGCAAGAACAAGCCTCGGTCGGGAGTAGCACTCCGTAGACCCAGCTACCCGTTCGCCGCTGCCATCGCCGTTTCTCTCAGCTTCTGATGAATCTGACCCGGGAAGGAGGCCCCTCGTCTGTTCTTTCCTCGTTGTGCTTTTCACTCAGTATCTCTAGAAACCTAGCTTTGGTCGTTTGAAGCAGAAATGCAATGATAAACACTGGGTGCTAGTCAAGGCAACATATAGAAAGAAGTGTTTTCTAAAGATTCAATGGTCATAAAGTCGTTAAAAGTATAGAATAATCCAACACAAGGAAACTCACCAAAGAGAGGAAAGTGCCTATCGGACAAAAGAAACAACAAGTCTTTCAAGCATCGTCAAGAACAATAGAATGCTCAAAGTGTTCTTGAAGTTCAACAACCTCAACAAATCACCAACCACCCATTATTCTTCTTCCTGATCCATTACCCAGGACACTTGCAGTCGCTCTTCTGGCGCCCCATCCTCTAGCCAAAGACTGGAAAGCCAAGACATCTCTTTCCAAACACTCAATACGACGATCCAAGACAGATCTCCAAGCTCTTTGCAAAATCACTGCTGCTTCGACTTCTCTTTGTTTGTTTGCTGCAACGGCGGCACAATCGGCGGCAGCTTTCATCTTCTGGATGCGCAATGAGATGGTGCGGCGGGCAAGACATAGACGGTAGGCGGTCTGAATGATGCAAGCGGCTCTGTGGGTGCGAGCTAGAGGAAGTAGGCGAGAGGCAAGGAAGGCGAGAAGAGCAATTGTGTTGCTACGGCTGGGAATCGTGGTTGCTTGCGAGGCAAAAAGTGTGACAAAAGCTTCGCTGCATCCAAGGTTTCGAAGTCTGTCGGCTGTTGACAACTTGTCCGAAGACTTCTTTGTGGTTGTAGGAACATAGCCGGCGTAGGTTGAAATGATGGCTGCCAACACGCGACCATCGGCGAAAGAAGTCGTCAGATTGGTAACGATGACCTTGTGCTGCTGGCAAACACTGGCAGCCCATTCCTTCAATAAAGGACCCTGCTCGTTTGCATCTGGCTGGTCTTCCTTGAGAGCATAGTTGATTCCGACGTTCGAGCATTTTGAGAAGCGCAGAGTCTCCTTCTTCAATTCGTCCCAGTCGACCAGATATCCAAGACCCCATCTACTAACCAACGCCCAGAGGAGGCTCAGAGTTTTCTCTCTGTGACCATTGACAACATCTTCGGCCTTGATTGTCTCGATGGCAGTACCGGCAAGACCACGAGCTTCAGACAGAGCGCTCAATGCAACCTGAACATTGTGCATCTTTTGTGTCTTACTGATGCACGGGAACTTAAGGTGCTGACTCAAAACACGATTTGTCACTGTGTCCAAAAGGCTTGTAAGGGTTGCGCCATCAGGGAGGCTGAGGGTAACAGTGCGATCTGAATGTTCATCCAAATTTCTAGAAGGATATAACAAAAGTTCGACAAAGTGTGTAAGCAAAACACCATCACGAAGGTCGACAGCGAGATTATCGATGCGGTATGTATATTCTTCCAACGGTTCCTGTATGTGTCGAACCGAGTAACCAAGATGTCCAAGAGGGCGAGAAATGTCTCCAACAGAGGGAACCATGAGTTTTGCAAATGCACGCAGTACGCTGATGGAAGATTTATGAGGTGAAGATGCTTGGAATAAGCAGGTAGGTAGGCTGCCGGTAGTCTTGGCTTGGTCAAGCAGGTGAATGAGCATGAGTCCACGTAATACAGTCCTCTGCCAGAACCACTCTGCTGTACCCGGCTGTGTTGCAGAGTCATCGGATTTGTGAGTATGTAGAAGCTCGGCAGAATCTTCATGATCAACGAAAAATGTCGAACAGAAACGTTTCCACTCTTTGACACCGCTCGAAGAAGATGCACCTAGTTTTGACTGTGTAGGGTTGGCAGCAGGAGCGATGACTCGTCCAACTACCACCTCGGCAGCGGCTTGCAGAGAGTCCGAATCATAAGTGTTGCCAAAGAGGTCGAAGAATTGACGGCGAAGACCAATGTCGTCTCTAAGCTTGGGAGAATTGGGCGCATCCTTTGGCATGCTGAGTGCACCGCATGATAACGATGCTTTCAGACGCTGGTGCAGGGTGGCCACTGACGCGTCATGATATAGGGTCAACATTTTGCTACGAAGAGCAGCCACACCATTTACGGCGGGAGACTCGTGCGCTTGTTGGAAGACCACATTGACGAGTTGTGTCAGAGCGACCTCTTGATTTTGAAGCCAGTTATCCTCGTAAAGTTCAGGTTGACCCAGATCATCGTTCAGAACGGGATAACGCGACGCGGCAAGGAATACGGATCGTTTGACATCTGGTAGGCTGATGTCTTTTGGTGCTATGGTGCTTGATGGCGGACAGACTTCCTTCGGTTTGATAATGTTCGAAATAGGTCTGTTTGTTGAAATCTTGCTGGTTTGTTTCAAGGTTGTGGGAGGTTTGTGCTTGAAATCTCTAGAGAATGGATCCACATTGGTAGATCGAGGAAGGACTTCGTTGCGGACACTGGATCGTTCATGGAGAGCTCTGGCCTGAACCTTGGGCTTTGGTGCGTCCCTCGGCTCTGGTGCAGATCGCTTCTTAACACTGCTCGATTTGGCTGAAGCAAATGTGGTCTGCCCTAGCAATGACTGTGATTTGCTAGTAGAGAGAGGCACAGCTTTGCTAAGCGGTTTGACCAAGGGTTTTTCGCTCTTGCCATTTCGAGAAAGCAGAGCTCCAGGAAGCATGTTCTCCTTACCGCCGCCTGTACCCATCACATTGTGTGACACATTTGGTTGAGATGGAGCTAGAGAACGGAGAGCGCTACGTTGTGAAGCAGAGGCTATCTTCTGAGCATGCCTCATAGCACTAGCTCCCAACCGGACATGTTGGGGGGTCTCCTTCATAGGCGTGATATCCAGATTGCTTGATGGTAAGCCAAGTGTTTCATCGCGCAGGGTGTTGTCATATGCTCCAGGGTGGATGGATAATAGTGTCGTATCCTCAGGAATCCAGATAGTCCGTCTTCTGTCTTCATTTGCAGGCTTGTTTGTGCTGATGGTAGGCTTGAAGTTTGCAATATCGTTGCTGCTGCTCGTTGGAAGAGAGGTCGGCTTCTCCTCCTTGGTCGACTGAATGCGAATTCTTTGAGCTGGTCTAGCATGAATGGCACTGCTCCTCATCATTCCAGCGGGCTCATCGCGTCGGTAAGATTCGCGCTGGTTGTTGTTGTTGCTGCAGCTGGCATCCTCAAACATGGTGGTAGGAGCACGTCTAGGTTTTCTTGCCAGATTTTGAGTTCTACGAGGCGGAGCATTCTTGAATTCCTGTTGTACCAGATGTGCAATGTTTTGGGTGGTATTGTCGTTGAGCTGGTCAAAGGCGTGGTCGAAAATGCCTTTGTTTTTGTTTACATCCAACGGCGACGCGACTTGACGCCCGCCATGGACTGGTGCTGGACAAGGAGTTCCAATGTCGTAGTTGAACATGTTGACTATACCTCAGGACTGCATGACAATGTTGGCTTTGAGATATCTGGGCAATTGGGATAGATATCTGCTGCTGTAGGCGGGAAGGGTGGTTTGCTAGGAGGTGGCTGGTGCAGGTTCGGATTCCCGCTGTGGCCGGGCAACGCGGGGTCAAAGCGTCTTACGGCGAGCTTGCCTCGACTCCCACCCTGCCCACTTTCTATCATGCACATACCTAAACATTCGGACCTTTTCTCAACAAAACACATGGGTATACTCGTGGTTTGGCATTGTGCTATCGTGTGTAATCAGTTCTCATCATGTTTCAGCACTGATAATACACAATGATACTCTAGAACAATTTGGACATGATTCGGCTTTTGAATGTGAGTGCCCCAGGCCTCTCGGACTCTCGCTGAGTACGATAATGTTCTGTTAGAGCATCAAAGAAGTCGTAGCCGGACACAAGATCAGTCTCCTTGCTGCGATGGAACCGCGTCCTTTTGACAATCTTCCACACTATGCCAATCCCACCAGCCAGAGCGATAATGCCATAATTGAAGATGAACGTTGCGACGTCCCAATTGCCTTTCAGGAAAACGGCATATCCTTGGACCCAGAGGAATATCGATGCCCAGAAGAATGCCCAGTAAGCTGCATATGGCTGCCAGCGCGAAGAATTAGGCAGATATGTTTGTCGATCGATACCCTGAGCCTTGACTGCCGCATTGAAACGAATCCAGGTCGCAGACATGATAACCCAGTTCATCATTGACGCTGCCGTACAAAAGTTTAGAATCCATGATAAGACTTTGCTGCTGCCGGACCCTAGCGCAAGATACGCAAGGCATGACAACAACATGACCACAGCCATATACGGCACACCGTGCTTGTTCAGTCTGCGTAAGAAAGCCGGAGCTTGGCCATCAAGTGCGAGTGCGTGGAGACTTCTCGAGGCGTTGAACGTGTATGCGTTGCCGGCAGAAACGATACTTGTAATCAATCCTGCATTGGCAACCGAAGGCAACACGGGAATCTGAAGTCTTTGCATGCTGATAACGTATGGTGAAGACCCGGCATATGTGTCAGAGCCATTGGTCAGAGTGCTATCGTTGGATGGGACGAGTATGCCGACACAAATGGCTCCGCCGATGAAGAAAATGATGAGACGGGTGACAATTGTACTGAACGCACGAGGTACGGTGCGTCGTGGATCTACAGCTTCGCCAGCGATCATGGAGAGATATTCGGGCCCGCCCATACAGAAACCAGCGACGTTGACCGCATTGATGAAAGATTCTAGTCTGGTGGACGGGCTATTCCCAGCCCAGGGCCCTGGCTCCTTCCAATAGCGAAAGCCGAAACGACTGTTGATGGATGTCAGCGAGGAAATTGGGGAGGTTAGAATGAACTAACTCATGTAGTGGGTTACCGCCAAGCATGACAACAAATGTGTAAAGAATGAGTCCCGAGGCCATCAGGATCTTCCCAAGAGCCAGCCAGAACTCTGCCTCCCCGAAAAGATCGGCTCGATATATGTTGAGAGCCAGGTAGAAGAGCAAGGAGACAGATATCAGAATGGCCGGTGACTGATCATAACCCCAATATGAAACGAGGGTGTTGATGATGGTGGCTTCGAAGATCACATACGATGTTTGAGCGAAGAAAAGATTCCAACCTGCAGTAACACCTAGAGCTGGATCAACCATACGCCCAGCCAGACGAATGTAAGAGCCATCGAGTGGAAACAGCGTGACAATCTCTGCCTGGCATTGCGCGACCGAAAACACAACAGTGGCCCAGAACACGAAGCCACATAGAAGGCACAAGGGGCCAGAAGTTACACCAGATCCTATGGCGACGTAGAGTGCCCTGATTTGAATTGCATTAGCAGAGTACAAGATCGAATGCTGATTATTGAAACCCTACGCTCCAATAGATCCAGCAATGGCGGTCAATTGCAGTTGCCTGGGATTGAGCCGGCGGTGGTTCACGGCATCTTTGACAGCAGAGTCAAGATCTGGAAGTTCAAGGCCACTTGTCTACCAGTGTCAGCCATGAGAAGCTACATCATGAAGATTGATGGTCTCGTACCAGAATGACTTGTCCAATATCTATTGAGAGCTTTGGACCTTCAGGTAGAGCGTTTTTGTAGTAATCTTGCGTATCATTCTTAGAAGAGCTCGGTTGCACCATTGTGCAAGTATGATGAGGAGACTCTGTATTCCAGAAATGAGATTGTCCGAGTTCTACTGCTGTTATATGTTACGTGGCTACCATGCAGCTGAGCCTTCTGGGGTCCAGGGATATTCCTATCTTGATCATGTGTTGCAGTTCGGACTGAGACTAGAACGATAACTGTATCTTGCTCCGGCCAACCTGATTCCTTTTTGCATGATGTGCCAAGGTAGGCTGTGTATCTCGAACGAATATGCGCACCCGGAGGCCGGATATCACTGGCTGAGGTACCAATTGAATCGCTTCTGAGAGTGTTGATAAGCTGATCGCATGCTCAACCCATGCTGATATGGGTTAGTGACCAGATAACAATGCTGCTTGTGTGCTTGATCTGACAGATAATGCGTCGACCGAAGGAGCATCGAGGTCATGAACGTAGGAAGGTACAACGGTCAGGGTGAGGGGTTGTGAAGACTGAAGGTGCAAGCGCAATCACATAACCTTGGCAGAAGCAAGAATGATATCTGCGTCGTCCTCATTTGCTGCTTACACGGTAGGCTATGCTTTTACGGTACATATGAAGATAGGCCATGTATGGTATCTCGGGACAAAGAGTTCTGGGCAAAGAGAATAGCTTCCATTGGATCGATAGACCATCCAGGTCGTCCTGCTGGGACCTGGATAGGCGAGAGTCACGCCGACAGATGCTGGCACACATCAATGACCAGATAACAGCATGGCAGGGATGCATGACTTGGTGAGATTTGCGGTAGATGTATGAAGATTCATGTCGGAATTGCGGAACGTGTGATCGTTCACCCGCAGGTTGTCTTGAAGCAAGGCCGATCAGCGTCGGTACAGCCTAATCGGGATATTGCGATAGTCGGGTTTCGACTTCCTAACAGAGCAACTATACTGTCCGATTGCAGCGGAACTTGTAGATATGTAGATAAACAGATGAGCCTATCGCACGCCTATCAAGTGGTGTGCGGGGTATTTCAAGGACCCGACCCCTCGTTCAACACAGGACAGTATTGTTCAGTACAGCAATACCAATATTCAATCATGGTACCCTCTCTTGTCAGAATTGATGCAAATGAGCCTCTTGATGACATTTTGAAAGTCATTGAGCGCGATGGCGGTGCAATTGTCACCAACTTCTTGTCTCCAGAGCTGCTGGAAGAGTTAATGCGTGCCAGTCAGTCCTGACCATGATATATCGCTAAGGACTAAGCTGATTCCTGTCAGTCGAGCCCTCTTTTGTTGGCCGCAAGATGTATGACTCGAAGGCCTCTCATGGCGAGCTCGGTCCTGAATTCTTCCCAGAGGGATCACAGCGTGTCTATGTAAGATTGTTGAAAATATATCATTAATCATTGGATATTCACATACTGACCTAAACTATAGGGACTACTAGGAAAAATCCCGGATCAGCTCACCAAGATTGTGCGTCTTCCAGTCTGGAAAGGCATCATGGCGCATTTCTTGAACGACGAGTTTGCTTCGTATACAGGTCAAACTCTGGTACCTCAAAAGAGCGGATATATGCTGGCGTCAACTGCAGCCTTAAGGCTGACACCAGGTTGTAAGCCTCAACCGTTGCATCGTGTAAGAAGAAATTGGAAGACACAATATGTTCATCCTCTGACGTTGAGACACAGGATCAAATCGCGTATCAGACCAGACCCGATCCTAACAATCCTCTCTTCACACCAATGATGGGTTGTTTGATCGCGGGATCGAGATGTACCTACAAGAATGGCGTAAGCGCATCGACCTATGTATCTGAGCAGTATCTAACAACTCTCTTCAGGCGACAGCTGTCATCCCAGGAAGCCATCTCTGGGGAACAGACCGTGCTCCTAGAACAGATGAAGTAACTTATGCAGAGATGGAGGCTGGTTCAGCTCTGTTTACTCTCGGCTGTAGGTTCTGTCTTGGGTAATAGCTCGGACACAGCTTTGCTGACCATATCATCCTGCAGCGACATACCACGGTGCTGGAGAGAACAAATGCGAGAAAGGCGACCCTGATGCATTGCGAACCCTGTTTGCAATCTTTGGGTAAGACACTAGCGATATGCGATCCTCATGAATCTCGAACTGACTCAATATCACAGCCAGCGAGACTATTTCCGTCAAGACCAGGAGGAAGCCTTCTCAACTCCTCTTGAGATTGCCCGCAGATTGCCAGAAGATGTGCTTCGATTGGCGGGTTACTACAAGTCTGTTGGAGGTGTTGGGTTTGTTGAGGATCACCAGCACCCTGTCGAGTTCTTGCAAAGCAATAACAGCGGGCTTGGAAAGATGGGTCCTTCTGCTACTCAGTTGGCGGTCTAGCCCGCGACCTGGTCTTTGTAACCAAGTGACTGTCCGTATGCATCCAATTGACATCTCTTGACTCTGACTTTGCAGTCTTATGTTTGTGGTGACTCTCGGGGTGACAGGAGGACTGCGATCCGAACGCAGAGCCATTGGCTGTACGTCTAAACTTGCACAAAGAGCTACATCGAGTTGAATATCACTGTAGATTGCTGATTGAATTTCAATCAAAAATCATATAACTGCTGGTGTAAAGCATCTTTTAAAGGTGGCATGTTTGGTTGGAGAAGATGAGAATGAGTCGCAGAAGCCAGCTGTTGCTAACGCATTCCATAAAGCACGCGTCATTGGCATGTTCGTGCAGCAGCGACGATCCCCCAAACGCTGATCTTTCTTTGAGCAAGACATCCAGGGAACCAGTTTCCGTGGGTCGGCAAATGAGACTGTTAGAGGAATTAATGACTTGAAGGTCAACAACAACCTGCTTCGAGGCGATAAACGACGAGCCTTGGTTTGCATATCTCAGCTTCTGGCCCTACTTCGGGGCTTCTCCTACAAGATACCAAACAACGACGATGGTGCATCCATCGATGGTCACACAACACTTCAAGATTCGGCTTCGGGAACATTGTATGATATGCCTTAGGAGGGCTTCACGATATTTTAATCAAGACTGGCTCGCTTTTTTGAACCCACGTCTATGGTTGTCTTCACAAGCTTGAAGCTGGAAACGAATTGATCGAAACAGACCGAACAAGAGTGACGCGGAGGCCAAGGATATACATGCCCTACTTTACTCCACATCAAACCCCGACTTGCAGATCTCCACTCGAGATGTCCAACCTGGGGAAAGTTTGGAGACGGATGTCCTGCCGGCGCCTCTTTCGCTGGTCAGGGATCGTTTTGTAGCTGCTCTCATTGGCTCTGCGAACATCACATCTTGCCCGTGGAACCAACGGATATAGTAGAGCCGCGTGACCAACATGATGTCGGCTTCTGACTGGCACTGCCTTATATACGACTCTCCGCGCTTCTGTGTTGAGTCAAGAGGGCCTGTCTCTATTCACGACCTTGTGTCAAGTCATCACATCCATCATGGAGGATCTCAAGAGTGATACCAAGTACATCGACGACATCGATATCCAGAAGAATGAGACCGTCTTCGCTCCTGAGGCTCGTGAGGCCTATGGTCCTGCTGGTCAGTAGCACTGGACTTGTTGATCAATAAACTACGACTGACATCCACCAGGCCTTGCTGGCATCTTCGGCAACTCCTATGTAGCTTTGTGTGCCGCCTTCTCAGCAATGGGCGGCTTGCTCTTCGGATACGATCAAGGAGTTATCTCAGTCACTCTTACCATGGACGATTTTCTCGAACGATTCCACCAAATTGCACCTGGTTCAAGTGGAGCTAGCTTTAACAAAGGACTGCTCACCGCGATGATTGAACTCGGAGCTTTGTTTGGTGCATTGAACACTGGATGGGTTGCAGACAAGTACTCCAGAAAGTACTGTATTGTTGTAGCAGTTGTGGTGTTTGTGATTGGATCTGCTCTGCAAACAGCCTCAGTGGATTATGACATGCTTATCGTTGCTCGTTTGATTGGCGGTATTGGCATCGGCTCGTAAGTCATCACATCTAGGGCAGACCACATGAATGCGACTGACGTGCTTCCGTTAGACTATCTGCTGTTGCACCGATGTACATTTCAGAAATCTCTCCGCCTGAGATCCGAGGAACTTTGCTTGTCTTGGAAGAGTTCAGCATTATCGTGGGTATCGTTGTGGCATTCTGGATAACTTACGGGACACGCTACATGTCAACTGAATGGAGTTGGCGACTTCCCTTCCTGCTACAGATTTTGCCCGGACTAGTCCTTGGTGTCGGAATCGTGTTTCTCCCTTTCTCACCTCGCTGGCTCGGCAGCAAAGGTAGAGACGAAGAAGCTCTCGTCGCATTGTCACAACTACGTCGCCTTCCATCCACGGACCCTAGGGTTCAGCAAGAATGGTTCGATATCCGCGCCGAAGCGAGGCTGGTGAAGGAGATCAGCAAAGAGCGCCACCCCAACCTACAGGACGGCACTAGGTCCTGCCGCTTGAAGCTCGAACTCGCATCTTGGGCCGATCTTTTCAAGAAAGGTTGTTGGCGTCGAACCCATGTAGGAGTGGGAATTATGTTCTTCCAGCAATTTGTTGGTATCAACGCACTCATCTACTACAGTCCGACGCTGTTCGAAACTATGGGTTTGAACTCTAGCATGCAGCTGATTATGTCTGGTGTACTCAACATTATGCAACTGGTAAGTCGCTTGTCATAGCCGTGGCACCTTGGGTCGTGCTGACATCTTCTTTTCTAGGTCGGATGCTCAACATCGATATGGACAATGGATCGATTCGGCCGTCGTACACTTCTCCTCTGGGGCAGTCTGTTCATGGCCGCTTCACACATCATCATTGCCGGCCTTGTCGGAGAAGGTCAAAAGGACTGGGCTGCCCATGGCGGAATGGGTTGGACAGCAGTAGCATTCCTCCTCATCTATATGATCGCGTTCGGAGCAAGGTGAGTTCTAATCAAGCATCTCAAATTTGCCAGTCACTAACACAAATTAGCTGGGGACCAGTACCATGGGCCCTCCCAAGCGAAATCTTCCCATCCTCGCTCAGAGCCAAAGGAGTAGCATTATCCACATGTTCAAATTGGCTGAACAACTTGTAAGCTTTTCTCTCCCCTTCTTCCAAACACGGCCATCCATGAACTAACACAACCCAGTATCATCGGCCTCATAACCCCACCCCTGATCTCCGGCACAAAGAACTACGGCGCCTACATCTTCTTCGCCGCCTTCTGTGTCTTCTCAGGCATCTGGGTCTTCTTCTGCGTTCCAGAAACCAATGGAAAGAGCTTGGAAGAGATGGATCATGTGTTTAGAGATGCGGGCGGTAGTGAAGAGGAGGAAATCCGTAAATTGAGGATTGAGAGGGAGTTGGCTGCTAGTACGCAAGAACCTGCTGTTGCTTAATCCAACCAGAGATTTCAAATTCTGAGTATAATTATAACCTGCATTTACATTGCAAAGAAGTTGGTGCAAACTCAGGTCTTCTGTTCTTCAAGAATATTAATTGAATTTCTCGATATCGTAACTCATGAAAAGGTCTAGAAAGATGCAAGTAACGAAACAAGAAACCACCTCTTGAAGCAAACACCGTTTACATGCACAAATGAAGCAATGCGCAGCCCTTTTGACCCGTGACACCAAACCGTAGCAAAATAAGCGAAGAACAATGAGAGATACGAAAAGCAGCCTCAGAGAGGCATCATGCCAATTCCACTAGAAGTGCCACCACCGCCGCCTCCTCTCTTGGATGGTCCAGCGTTGTTAAATGAATACTTGGCAGCAATGCTACTTTGTTTCTTTGCAACTGGTGCGCGTTTCTTGGCCGCTCCTCCAGCGACTGACTTGCCCTTGCCATAACTTGGCCGGCGAGGAGCTCCTTTCTTACCACCATACTTAGCACCTCCAGACCCAGCACGGGAGGCGCGCTTGTTGGGCGGTGGTACAGCTGCTCTTGGAGCAGCCTGTGACTGTGAGAACCTAGCGTTGAACGCCTCGACCTCAGCATTGTGTTTGAAGTATGAGGATCTTTCTTGACTTGCGCCCTCGGGCTCAGAACTGAATCCACCATCATATCCGAACTCGTCGTCATCATCGTTCTCGTCATCGCTCTCAATTAAGATGACTGTGGCGTGATTGGGGTCGTATGGTACGTCTTCTGCACCTTGCTTCATCTCCTCGAATTGCTTTTTGTACTGCGCGATTAGAGGAAGTAAGGTTATACCGTGGCAGTCAACCTTGACAGAGTCGATGCCTCTGATCCTCTTCATGGCTTCCAGAGTCTTCGGGAACACAATGGCCATCTCACGCAGCATGGTGTCAGAGAATGGTTGTTGACGCAAATCTTTCTTCCTCATGAGTTGCTGCATTTTTTCTTTGGCGTCTTGAACGAACGACGCGATCACATCCTGGTGGACATCATCCAGATTGTGAAGAGCTTCGTCCCTGGTGATGGGTTCCCCGAGCTTGGTTTGGTTTCTAGAGCGCGAGGTTGTTTCTGTTCGGAGGGGCTCGAAATAACCGTCTTCATCCTCCTCATCTTCAGATTGAGCGTAGTCTTCATCCTCGTCAGGATCTTCAACAATAAAGGTGTCACGCTCGTAACCATTGCGAGTAAGTCCGCCGCGCTTTCGGCTTGGGCCTGCTTGCACAGGCGAGGAGATATTGGTGGAAGGATACTGCTGGCCTTTCTTGGCTGCCTTGGAGGCCTTAACGCCGGTGCCCGTCGCAACCTTTGGCTTTCGTTTAGCGGCTTTCCCACCTGCTGCTGCTGCTACCGGGACGTAAAGCATCAACTTCTGCTTGCCGCGCCCATGTCCGAACATGTGCCTTTTTGGTCCAAGTCCAATGTATTGATTGGCGAACTTTGATTTGTTGAACACAGAGAACTCGCGAATGACATCTTCAGCCAACAGAAGACCAAACAAGCGATCAACATTCTCGCGATCAAGGTCTTTGCCTGCGCCAAAGTTTGCAGCTTCCTTGTCTTCAGCGGTAATACCACGGCCAGTGCCCCGAAACAAATCAATACATTGGTGAAGAGTGACATTGCGAACAGAGGCGATTTCCTTGACAAGCTCGACTGCAGCGAGGCCGAGCTCAGTGTAGTCTTCCTGTACCAGCTCTTCATTTGTGTTACAATTGTCGCAGTTGTTGTCGCAATCTTCTTTCGAGAAGCTCTCGGCGAAGTAAGCTAGGACTTGAACACGACGACAGTCTGTCTTGTTCAAACAGAACTGCGCGACTCTGCGAAGCATATCGTGTTGACGATCTTTCTGTTCCTTACTACCGCTCTCATTCTCGTCAATCATCTTTCGTAGCGTGAACAAGTCGTGGGTGCCATAGAAGACGTAACAATCTGACTCTGCACCGTCACGTCCCGCACGACCAGTCTCCTGGTAGTAACCCTCAAGACTCTTGGGAATTGTATGGTGAATAACGAAGCGGACGTCGGGCTTGTCAATACCCATGCCAAAGGCGATAGTTGCGACGATAATCTTGGTTTTGCCTCGTTGCCAATCCTTCTGAACCTTACTTTTTGCTTCAGGTTGCATGCCAGCATGATAATGATGAGCTTCGATGCCACGTGCACGAAGCTCTTCAGCGACATCTTCGCATTGCTTTCTCGATAGGCAGTATATGATACCACACTCGTCGCTGTGTTCAACCTGGATAATTTCCTGGATTCTGTCAAGAAGTACTGACTTCTTGGGCTTGCTGTAGACATAGTATCGCAAGTTCGGACGATTGAAGCTCTGCGAGAAGACGTCGCATCCAGTGATGCCGAGGTTGCCGATGGTGTCGACTTTCACATTTTCAGTCGCAGTAGCCGTGAGGGCCATTATGGGCACACCAGGATATTCGTTCAAGACCATACCAAGTTCTTTGTAGTCCGGTCGAAAGTCGTGTCCCCATTGACTGACGCAGTGGGCTTCGTCGATAACAATCCTCGCAAGCTTGCCTCTGCGATGCAAATCTTTGAAAGCAGTCTTCATCATGCCGCTCTTGTTCAACATTTCTGGTGTAACGTAGAGCAGTGATACAAACTCCTGTACGTTGGGTCTCGTAAAGGTGCTTGTGACTTCCCTGCGCTCGTCCATCGTCGTATTGCCGGTGAGTGCAAATGCCTGAATTCCTCTCGCTCGCAAGTGCGAGACCTGATCTTCCATCAAACTTAGCAATGGCGAGACGACAACAGTAACGCCAGATGTCTTCCCTGATCTGACAATCGCTGGGAGTTGATAGCATAGGGATTTACCACCTCCGGTCGGCATAAGTACGAAAACATGTCGGCCCGCAAGTGTGGCATTGATTGCGTTGGCCTGATTGAGTCGGAATCCAGGCAGTTTAAAAACCTTAGTAAGTCCACTCTTGACTTGTTTGGTCCAAGGAAAGTCTCCGAGTTCTTCGTCAAGTGTTTTCGGTCTTTTTACAGGAGTAGCTTTCTTTGGTCGTGACTTGGAAGCATTCGAAACTTGGACGATAGCGGAGCGATCATTGGACGGGCGAGATACGCCATGGAAAGTGGAATGATCTTCAAACTCAGTCGCAAGTTCCATGAGATCCTCGTCGTCGCCAAATTCGTCGTCGTAGTTTTCATCATCAACAACCTGCGCTGGAGGTGTACCCATAATATTGCTGAAGAGGCTTTCATCTTCCTCCTCGAACTCGTCAAATTCGTCAGGCACTCCATAATTCTCCTTATCACTATGTCTATGAGGTTGGGCAAAATCTCTGGTAGAGGTTGTTGGCTTTGTTGAGGTTTGGCGACTGGCCGAAAATGTGTTGTTTCGCTTCGATGGGGAAAGAGGAGCATTTTGATTGTCGGTACGGTGGACGTTCCTTTCGGAAAAATGATGAGGCGGACTAATCTCCATCACACTGGGATCCTCCACATCTGGCTCAGGCTTGACTCTTCTCGCTGGCCTGGGTGGAGTGTCCTCGACGCCAGGGAAGCTTTCGACATTTCGGCCATTGGGTAGCTGAGTCTGCTTGATCCTTTCGGGGCCGGGGCTTCGTAGAATCTCGGTCTTTGCTCTGGGTACAGCCTGAGTTGACTTTACCGCGACAGTAGCAGGCTTTTTGAAAGTTGACATAAAACCAGCAGCCTCCAGAGTTTGGAGAAGTGGCAAGATATCGGTGTGTGTATCGCGAATACGTTGTTTGAGCTGTCTCATCTCCTGCTGCTCTTTGGTAGGTTTTTGTCGGGCAAGTAGAGCTTTTCTCATAAGATCTGAAATGTTCTTCATTTCAAAGTCTAGTGCATCAAGTCTGTCCTTGGAACTCTTCAGACTTTTCAAGGTTTCCTCAACCTCACCTGCCTGTTCATAGGCGTCAGTGATGTGAGCTGGTACGTCGTCGAGTTCGAGAGACTCCATAGCTGCCATGTAGTCGTCAGTAGCTTGTGCGTGGCGATCCCCAGCCTCCGCCAACTTCGACTCGAAGTCTTCTTGGGTCCAGGACAGGAACTTGTTGATGAGAGCATCTTCGCTCGAAGACAGTGGTGCAAGACCAGGTGATTGCGAGGCAACGGCAGGCGAGTCGACGACACGCCTGAGAGCGGGAGTCTGCAATGGTTTCCTTGGGGATACTGATTGTTGCTTCAGCTTGACAGGAGAAGGCAGACGTGGCTCAGGTATATTCTCATGAACGTCTTCCATATCTTCATCTTCACTATCCACTATCTGACGCTTAACTCGTCCCTCTTGTGGTGGAGGACCCATGGTCGAACTCGAAGACGGCACAGGCGCTTGAGCAGGGCGCTTAGCCGGTGATTGGGCGACGGTGGAATACGGAGGAGGTGGGCCAATTGGTTCGTCATCGACCAGGTCGTCGATAGACATGAAACTGTCATCGTCGTCGTCATCAGGTTGTTGAATCGTCTCTAGACGAGGCGCTTTTAAAGTCGAGCGGTTGTATGCATCAGTCCTGTGCTCATCGCTCTTTCTCTTCTGGCCTTTCAAGCTTGACAATAGTCGAACCGGTGTGGGCAAAGCGTCTTCGGTCAGATCAAGAGTATCAACATCAGCGAGCAATGTAGGCGGTACTCGGGACATGTTGGTCGAAAGTTTGGCAGTGCGTGCGGCGGGTGATTGAGCATACGAATCAAGATGGTTGGACGACTCGTTAATGGCTGGTCTACTGTTTGACTGAGACGATCTCTCGGGAAGAGGAACGGGAGCCGGCTTAGTAGGAGAGGACGAGGCAGCGGCTCTCAGCCTTGCCATGTTCGCACTGGGCTCGCCACGCGGGTTTGGAATTGGTCTTTCTCGTTCTATTGCCGTGGATGTAGCGGTCGGACGCGTTGTTTGTATCGGTTGACGTGTCGGTAGCGGATTGACATTCCCGGTTACGTTCTGCGAAAGCTGTGTCTGCGAAGAAGGACCAGAAGATGTTGGTATCGGCGGTAGCGAAGGCGTGTGTTTGGGGATACACGGTTTTTCTCGTAGCAACCATCCAAGCTGCTCGCGAAGGTTGTTCTCAGTCATTGAGCATCAGGGATACTGATGTCGTCTGTTTTGGTCCTCCAACATGGATTGACTCTTCCTCGAGTGGCGCCTGTTCCTGCTCGATTGATTCGGTCTGGAATCTCGAATCCTGGCGGACGCGACTGCCCGCGACGAACCGCGACCTCACGTGCCATGCGCTAACTCGATTAGGCCAGTTTCTTGGCGCTGCAACCCTTGTCCATGGTATCACCCTGCTCGAATTTGCAACTTCTTCATGTGTAAGACACTATTCTCGTGTAGCTATGAAAATCGGAAATGCTTCCTTGATTGAAGTGAGGCTTGCGGAAAGACATCAGTCCGTGGTATTCTTCCTGTCATACACCTCTGGTTGAAATTGAATGCAATCATTTATATTCAAGACTCAAACCAGATCTACTCTAGCACAGGTATCCACTCTCTGGTCTGCGTGGCATCCTCGTATCTCGCTGTGATTTCCAACAAGTGTTGAATGGTGTTATCACACTGTTGAATCCTGTATTTTGACTATTCTAGTCTTTCGTAGGTAATTAGCAAATGGTCTTAGTTATATCGTGGCCTGGGGATATATGACTCTCGCTTGCGTCTCCTGAACCGGGAGGAGTGACACCGTCAGCCACTCATCTTAGCGCCCCCACCACTTTCTCTTGCACAACACGTGCGATGACTAACCTAAGCCCTGAGGCAAGAGTAATCGTCTCATGTATAAGCGGCTTGAGACTTCATGAATGGACAATTGACTATTAAGACTTCAGTACTGTGCAGCGCAACAATAGACTCTGATTACTTCATTGAAACATGGAAGTAGAAGCTACAGCGACCCCTTCGCATGTGCTCCCATCTGCCTCCCAGATCTCGGAGGCATTGCTGGGCCTACACAGAGAGCTTCCCTCCACAGGACTCGGCCTGCATGCTGCCAAACAACATTTGACACAAGACGTGGCTCCTGCGCTCAATGCGAACAGCCAATCTTCCCGCTACTATGGCTTTGTGACTGGAGGCGCAACTCCTGCTGCCGTCTTCGCCGACAACATGGTCACCGAATATGATCAGAACGTTCAAGTACATCTACCCAACGAGACCGTAGCTACAGATGTCGAGGCTGCTGCCTTGGACATGGTGTGCGATTTAGTCGACCTAAATCCTAAACAATGGAACCACAGGTTATTTACTACAGGTGCTACCGCAAGCAATATTCTTGGCCTTGCTTGTGCTCGCGAGCATATTATCAAGACTGCGGCAGCTCGCAGTGGAGTCATCGCAGATGTCTCATCACAAGGTCTTTTTGCTGCCATGCAAGCTGCCGGCATAAATAACATCCAAATCCTGACTACCATGCCTCACAGCTCGCTCAGGAAAGCGGCGTCAGTACTTGGACTCGGACATGCTAGTGTGAAAGACGTGGGCAACCATGCAGATCTCTCACCTCATCGATTCGACCTTGAAGCTCTGGAGCTAGCACTACAGAAGAGCCCAAACACCGCTTCAATCATCTCAATATCGTGCTCTGAAGTCAACAGCGGCCTGTTCGCAACCGATGCAGATGATATGCTTGTCCTGCGTAAACTGGCTGATCAGTATGGTGCCTGGCTACACGTGGACGCAGCATTTGGTCTACTAGCTCGAATCCTTCCAACCAAACCAGAGTACGAGCTTCTGAAGCGTGGCGTGAGTGACCTCGACCTTGCAGACTCAATAGCTGCAGACGCACACAAGCTTTTCAACGTACCCTACGATTGTGGCATCTTCCTGTCACGTCATCTGGATCTTGCCACGGCTGTGTTTCAGAACCCGGGTGCACCGTATCTCAGTTCTGCTGATGGCAGTGTACCTTCGCCACTCAACATCGGCATTGAGAACTCGAGAAGATTTCGAGCATTACCTGTGTACGCGAATTTGGTCGCCTATGGTCGGGAAGGATTTGTCAATATGCTTGAACGCCAGATTGGACTTGCTCGTAAAATTGCTGCCTACATGCATGCAAGCGATGCTTACCAGCTTCTTCCCCCATCAACCCAGCAAGGTGATCATACATACTCAAGTATCTTCATCATTGTCTTGTTCAAGGCAGTCAATCCAGACCTGAACGCAACATTGGTACGAAAGATCAACACCACGAGAAAGATTTATGTTTCAGGCACAAGTTGGCAATCAGAGCCAGCATGCAGATTCGCCATCTCGAATTGGCAGTCCAGCGTCGAGAAGGATTGGGATGTCATCAAAGAAGTTCTGGACGATGTAGCTGCTGGTAGTGATGCTTGATTTAGTTTCATCTTGGTCTTGATTCAATTAGCAAATACATTCTTGCGTTCCATAATCTCCATCTTGTGCTGACTTTCATGCCATCTCCATCTTCTGTCGAAATTCATGCCATGTGTCGATTTTCATGCCATCTCGTGTCGTTCTCCCACAGCATCTTCTGCCTCCTCCACATACCTAAGCTCTCCACCACCAACCCTCTCTGTTACGCTGTCTCTTCTTCTCCCTTTCCCTACCACCACCATCGCAGTAAGCAGGATTAACCTGATAACCGGCACCATCTCCACACTCGACCTCACAGCTATTTCCTCTAGTGGCTCTACCACTAGTTCTTCCACTTCTTCCTCTTAGATCTTCAGCCGTGTTGTGAGAATGCTTGCAGGAACAGGTGTGGTGAGAGTGTTTGCAGTTGTGGCGAGAAGATGGCTTGTCGATGAAATAGTACCAACGTTTAGTGGATGCAGTGGTTTTGGAGTTGAGGTGGGAGATCTGTGAACAGGGAGGAATCAGTAAGATGTTATGTTTGCTGGGTGGTTTATTGGAAACAAAAAGAACGAGAAGAGAAGATCTGAAAAGGAAGAATATGAAGAAGAGAGAAGAGAGACCGGAAAGCAGAGAAGAAAGAGGAAAACAGTTGTAGAGGTTCCTTCGCTGGTGGCATTTGGGACAGGAGCCAAAAGGCTAAGAGGGAAATCTCGTAAGACAGAACATATAGATGAATCGATTCATTTTAGCACCCTAGAAGAGTACTGTTTGATGTATGTATATAGGACAACTTCTTGTCATTTATATATCAAGAACAATCACTGTCCCTTGTCCTTTCCACATTATGGTATCATAATAGTCTCACAAGACCATGAAGGGAATTCGACAACAGCAAAGAAAAAAAGCAAAAGACAAGAGACAAAACAACAAGGAAGAAAAAGGGGTATGCAACAAGAAACAAGATCAAAACCTCAGCGCAGCAAAAGCACTGCAACGCAACGCAAAACAATCAATCATAAAAACCACGCTTGTTATTCACCTGAGCAGCCATAACCATCATCCAGATCAAAAACACCAGACCAATAATCCAGAAAGCGAACGCGGCATCCCATTGCGAACAGATGGAGTTTTGTTCAAGCCAGGCCAGGGTATCGATGGAGACGCCGCGAATATTGTTGTTATTGACGTAGCGGTTGCAGTAGCTGGATACATTGCCCTGGATTGTCTTTGTCAGTTTCAAGAGAAGGAAGAAACGGAGCGAGGGCAGAGAGAGAGAGAGAGAAGGGGAAAAGGGGGGAGACAAGACTTACATTTCCGAAAAGCTGAATTGCTGTTTCGATAAGACCAGCAAGGAAGAGAGCAATCAAAATGAAACTCCCCAGTAACACCCATGCAGGTTGAAGTTTCTTCTGCGCAAGCAAGATGATCATGAGAATGACGAAGAAGAGAGTAAGTGAGCCCACAGTAACGGCATAAGGGAACAGCCTATCGCTTCAAAATCAGCACTCGATTCCTCTACCATATCCATGCTGTCCCAAAGACTGTGGTATGCGCGTGTAGAAGAAAAAATTACTTACCAAGGAGTACCTAACCCCATTCTGCTTTGAATCGTCATGAAATCGCCAAAGACACCGGTGATCAAGCCGCCGGTTGCAAGCATGACGATGGTCCACCAGTTGAGTAGGTTTTCAGGCCAGGGGTAGCGGCGTACCACCGTCACACGCTCTCTTGATACCGTGGTTTCTGTGCGCGCCATTGTTTAATTGATTTGTGTTGTTAAATTGGTTCCGATGTTGATAGGAAAGATTGTCAAGAAGTAAGCAGAGTAGGCGGAGTTTTGGGTGAGTGAGAGTTTGATGTGAGTTGATGCTTTTCAGTCGAAGTAGTGAAATCCAGTGAATCCTTAGAGAAGCTGTTGTCCCCTTTCACAATGATTTTCGCAAAGAAGCGAAGTTGTTCACTCGAGAGTAATCCTCTAATCGTTCACAGAAAGCGGAAGCGATGCCGTGCCGATGAAGGATAATCAATCGCAATATTTCAACCTCTGCACTTTCAGCAGTGAGGATGCTCCACGTTATATCGCACAAAGCTGTCAAGGATCGCAACGGCTATCCCGAATTCCCGTTGGAAGTCAGAAACCGTTGACGAAAAGTAAGAAGGCGTGTTTGTGACGATTGTGATATCCTTGGCAGAAGGACCCAAGTGGCTGGTTGGCGGGGTTGCAAGTCAACAATTCGAAATATCACTTTGAAGAGTGCGGGTTCCCAGAGTTATGGACGGAAAGGAGCCTCAAATGGTGGAGCAATATGCAAAGGGAAAGAAAATGTTAAGATGCAGGTACACAGAAAGAAAGCAGAGAAGATGCAGTGGACATGTGTGGAAAACCTGCTTGGGTGAACGCGGGAGAGGCTGGGAGATGGCAGGGTTGATGTGCGACGAAACAATCGCACAGCCCATCACCATCCAAGAAAGATGTATGTGCTCACGTCAAGACTGCTCATACAAAACTCTTGCAGCAGTGACAAGATAGAATTGCAGCCAAGGAGAATTTGTGTCTTTCGAATATTTCGTGATTTGTTTTTCTTTCTCGTTGTTTTGCTCGAGTGATATGCTCTCTTTTTCCTTTTTCCTGTACACGCAACAACCAGATCCCTCGTCCTTCACCTATTCGTACAATAGCCATCGTCTCATGGCTGAAAAATTTCATGTCGCTCCCCTCGTCGTAGCACAACCACCATCTTTTGAAATTGCCGTGACGCCTGCGAAAATGTGATGAGAAAAACACAGAGCTCTTGTAGTCCACGCGCAACCTTTTGTGATAAATGTAGTCGGCGCGAAAATTGAACGTGGACGAAGACCAGAGGCGTAGAGGAGAGAAAAGAAGCGTTTTCACCGTCCAAAACAGAGATGACTCCAAAAGAGAAATTAACAGCCGTCTATGCCTCGATTATCTCATCACAGGCGTTGTGCAACTCCAAGATATATTAACGCCTTCTCTTGCAGAAATCGAGAGTTTGTGGGTGGATCGATGAGAGCGCGAAAACGAGAACGAAAAAGTCGAGATGCTAGGAGGATCGAGAATGGAACCGGTCAAGTTCATTTGGCTTCCTCGGCGCTGATGAAGTACGCCTTGGCAACCTCGTAGGCGGACCTAGGAGACGAGTTAGTGGGACTTATCGACACATATCGTAGGCGGAATTCAACATACCAGCAGATAGCAGTGCTAGGTGCAGCAGTGACGACTCTAGCCTTCATACCCCTGAAGAAGCCCTTTGCGCCATCTCTTCTCCAGATAATACCAGCAGCGTCGAACAAGCCCTTGGCGCCTCTGATCTCGGCATCAGTGGAGCTACCTCTGGTTTGCAACAAGGTCTTGATAACGTCGAGAGGAGTGGTAGCGGCAGCAGCGATACCACCAGCAAGACCACCAGCAGTGCAGTGGGTCAGAGGGTCGTAACCAGGGCGGCGGTGCATGAACTTTGTGATGGACTCGTAGGCGGTGAATTGGAGAGCGGTAAAGGGCACGGTCATGGCGAGAGTGGTGGGGTACGAGACGTAAAAGGCGCGAATGCCCTCGTTGCGGAAGACGGAGCGTGCACATTGGGTGATTGATGTGTAGACACTTCCGTGTACTTGCATGCGCTGCTTGATTACTACAAACTGCGTTAGTTGTCAATTGTGAGAATATGTCGGGCGGTCGCGTACCGTCAAAGGGGTTCATGAAGGCATCACTGGCAATTGTTGCGCAGGCACCGCTGGTTGCTATACATCTTATCAGCACTCAACCAATCAAAGCAGCAAAAATGTCAAAATCTCACCTGCTGCGAGAGGGTGGTGGCCTGCTGCGTTTCCACCCATCTGCTGCTTGACAACCTCGTATGTAGCGAAATAAACGGCGTGCGCAGGTCCAGCGCCAACAATCACACTCGACAAGCCTCTCCATAACGACATGTAACCCTCAGCTCGTGAAATTGTAGCGATCGCGTTTCCGAGACCAGTGTAGATAGCCGCAGGCGTCGGGCTCATGACTTGCATTCGCGTCTGAAATTATCGAGGTCAGCATGTCTCCCCTGATCGAACTTCTTCCGCGCTCCTCAACGCACCTTCAACAAGTCGATGGGGTACATGACCGAGTGTTCGGCGACACCAGCGAAGGCACCAGCTGCCATGTTGGCAGCCAGACTGAAGTTTGGTGGCAGACCCTCGTAGCTGTAGTAGTATCATCGTCAATTGAACCATTCTCGTCGCGCAGCAATTCGCAGAAGAAGCTCACTCATATTCAGTGTCCTCGTCGAGGATCAATTTCTCTTGCACGGACATGTGTCCGACCGTAGGGGCGAGACTTTGGGAATCCAGTTTGGCGTATGATGGGGAGAGATAGAGGGATGTATGCGTTTGTGCGCGAAACAGCTGTCGTCGCTAGATGTGTATGCGGCAAAAGTGGTGGCTTCTAGGAAGCTTTGCAAAAGGTTACCAGTGGTGACGCGCCGATATTTGTAAAAGCGTCGAGAGATAGATTTCGGAGTCGTTCAATACGGGGCAATGCTTAGTCGTCCGTTCGTGATCGGTCTGCGAGACGTATATCGCTGCTGGCTGTCAGTAATTGAGAAACAAAAAGACCCCGTTGTCTTTGTTTCTACGGCCTGGCCGGGAAAAAGATGGGAACGAGCAATGCACCATGCATGCTCAATACATGGCATTTGCCGTATGACGACCGGTGCTCTCCAGCGAACTTTTGAAGCCTGCCTCGGAAGCCCGTGTCCCGCGAAACCTTCTTTGCTTCTAGAGGAACTGTGCAGCCATCTCCGCGCTAGCTGCCATGCGATTTGTGTTCTGCCCTGGGACCGAGGCATATCCGAACCTCCTCTGACCACCACAAACTCCTACTCGTATACTATTCCATATTATAGAGAGCAGCGTCTTCATCTGCTAGTCGCAGAGCACAGCCGCAAACAATACCAAACACAGCGAGCAATGGAAGATCAGCGCATGCCGCGCCGATACAGATTAGCCAAAAAGACATTATCAATCAGATAACTTAAAACCGGGCGGGACAAGCGAAAGCTCTCCGAAATCGCTTACGGACTGTTTGTGGAAATGCTATCCGCCCGGACACACAAGGAAAATAGATCTAAAGACCTTGAACTCTGAACTTGTCATCCAGGGGTTCTGCTTGAATAGAGTGTGTTTTGTGGATAGATGTATCGCTCAGGTAGATTCAGCAGTCGCAGCGTCCATACCATCGTGGGAAAGCGACCACATCTCTGATACTGCCCACACCAGCCAGATAGCACAACAACCTATCAAAGCCCAAACCAAATCCTCCGTGAGGAACACTGCCATAACGTCTGAGATCCAAGTACCAATCGAGTGATCCCGCGTGTTTGCCTTCATAGAGCTTGTGCTCTGGAATCTCGCTTTCACCAGCAGCTTGTTGTTCTGGCGTCAATTCGCGCAGCATACCGCGCTGCTGCATGATCTTTTGAATTGCAGATAGATCGTGCTCGCGCATTGAACCGCCAATTAGCTCACAAAGATCAGGGACCAGGAGGTCGAAGCAGGCTACTGTGCGATCACTACCGGGTGTTTTTGACATGTAGAAGGGCTTTTGCTCAACGGGGTAGTCGGTGATGAACACGGGTTGGCCTTTGCCAAAGTGCTCTGCTAGGAAGCGTTCATGCTCAGCTTGAAGACCTTCCTCCCAAGATGGGGTGAACTGGAAGACTGTACCCTGCTTGACGGCTTCCTCCAGTGTTTCGATTGCTTTGGCGTATTGGACTCTGGGCCAGTCGGCTTGCGCCATACCTTGCCAGCGACGAGAGAGCTCTTCAGCAGTGACTGCGCCTTCTTCCGCTGCTTCTTCTGACGTTTGACTTGCTTTGGCTTGGAGGATTTGCTGTACTGTGTGTGATCCTTGTAACTCTGTTGTCATGGTTGACAACATGTTCTCGATCAGATCCATGACTTGGTTGGCATCGTCCACAAAACACATCTCACCCTCAAGCATGTAGAACTCGCTGAGATGGCGAGGTGTGTCACTCTTCTCTGCTCTGAATGTCGGTGATAGAGTCCATACGTTTCCGACAGATTGTGCCAGAGCTTCTAGATGTAATTGAGAAGACACCGTGAGGTACTTTGGTGTGCGGAAGAAGTGCTCGACCTCGCCGTCATCTGACTTCTGTGTGCTGTCCTTGGAAGCATTAGAAGATACTGTGAACACCTCACCCGCACCTTCGCAATCTGAGGATGTCAGAATTGGCGGATGCGTCTGTACGAAGCCTTCTTTGTTGAAGAAATTTGTGATGCTGCCAATGACCTGTGACCGTAGGTGTAGTACGAGTGCATTGAAAGGAAGTCGAGACCGCAGATGTGGCAAGGTCCTCAAGAACTCCGGACTTTGATATTTCTTCTGGATTGGGTTTGTCTGCAAAGGCTTTCAGCTTGTGCTTGATGAGGATAAATTACAGAGGTACGCACGGTAGGGTCATTGTATCCCAGTTTCGTGGCTTCTGATACTTGCAGCTCATGTGTTTGAGCTTTACCTGGAGGACATTTTTGCCATTTACCACGGAGTTTGATCGCATCTCCGGTGGATAGACTGTGCTCAAGACTTTAGTACTTGATATGCATATTCGAGGTTTGGACATACGACAAAGCTTGATCCGGCGTCAAGACAGCCTGAACGGGTTGCAAAGACGAGCCATCCCCAACCGCAGCAAAAGCTATACGCTTCTGTTTTCTGATGGTTCGTACATAGACATTGACCTCAATTTCTGGCGAGGTTTCCTCGTTGGTCTCCGCAGAATATTTTAGCAGCGATGCAATGTTGGCCGGTTTTTGTATCGTCGATGACCAGCGAGCAAAGTTATTTGCCCGAAGGGTATACTGATTAAGTCCACGCCATGTCTTCATCCCGAGGTTTCTCGTCTCAGGGCTTGAGTGCAAATGATTTCGAGTTGAGTTTGGATCGTGTCGTGAGAATCCAAGTCTGTCTTCGACAGAAGCAAGATCTTGGTCTGTGCTCAGCATACCATTTCAAGAGTCACATTTGTTGATTTTATTGTTTCGAATACTAGTTGATTATTACAAGAAATGTATGTGTATTGTTTGAGAATGGATCTAAGCACAAATGGACGTACATTTGTCGTGCGTTCAAGGTGGCCAAGCTAGTTGATCTTTTGACTTGCCAGCGCAGCATAACAGAGCGAGTTGGTCCTGAATTACATGGCTGTAAACATGTATCAAAGTACCTGTCGAAGAATTCACAAGAAATGCAGGAGTTTCGTCAGGAACCGAGATATTGGACGATTGCATGTATCGTGGCGCACCAGGAGCACCCATGCATTCCTTGCAGCAAGGCTGAAGATTGGGCTGAATCCTGAACCAAGCCTCCTTCTGGCGAGGCATTGAAGTAGCCTGTGGTGCAACCATCAACCCTTACTCTGAGTTCCAAACGTTTTCGACAAATCTGATAGAACTGTCGAGGCCATATAGCTGCAATGCAGCGTTCACTTCTTTTCCTGCTTACTTGCAGCCTAGTCGCCGCACTTCCTCTACGCTTATTATTCTTTGTCAACCAAAATTCTCTACTATCGAGTGGTTCCCACTATGAAGCGCATCCAGGAACACATCTTGATCGTATGGCAGATTCGGTAGAACTGCTATTCACCGCCAGCGACGATGATGAGATGATTCGTGTCTGGATGCCCATCGGAAAACGTGTATCACCGCGTATGTTCCGCTTTCCCGAGCTCTTTAGTTGCAATCGGATCTGACTGTTATTTTGTAGGCGATCTTCCGGTCCTCCCGTTACATCCAATATCGGCGCGGATAGCCAACGTGTTGGGCTCCTCGACCAAGAGGACGGTCAGACGCAAGCACCACCAAGTCACATGCGTGATCAAGACGATAGCGAATGAGTCAAAGCTCGGCACGCAAGCATATTTGATGGCGATAGTCCAGGAAGGGAAGGGAGTAGCGAGGCTGAATGAAGCGAATCCACCCTTGGATCTGAAGGGAAGAGAAGTCGAGAGTTATGAATGCTTCTGAGCCAGCTCAGAGATAAAGAAGGCCGTGTCTGAAGAGTGGCGCAATCGTGATTGCGCATTCTGAACTGGACCGGATGAAGGTTGTGTTAGTATTAGTTTCTCGTCGTGAGAGTCGTGTTATCATCATGCAGCATGGTCTCTCCCAGACATGCCCACCATCTCGTATGCTCCAGCTCCATCACTCCCAGTACCTCTGCCTTCTCTTGCATAACTAGCGCCCTCCTCAACAGCAGCTGGGTCGGTGTTCGTAGCGGATTGTTTTGGCTTCCCTCCAAAGGATATGGGCTTCAGCTCTCTCCATTGGCAAGCCCAGACGCCGAGGAAGACCATGAGGGCAGTGCTGCACAACTGTAGACCCCACCAGAAGAGCTGAGTTGGCAACTCTTTAGTGTAAAAGGTAGTGACGACGAGATTGATGACGTGGATGGTGATGGCGAAGTCTGGAACGAGTTTGGATCGGGCAATGAAGAGCAGCAGGAAGATGACACTGTTGGCGCAATGGTGTCAGCGAGGGAAGGGTCCTAGATATCTAAGGACAGGTTGGCACATACCAGATCAGACTGTCCATCATCCAGCAGAGACCGAGCATCCATCCAGTAGTGACATCGCTTCGGACAGTACGCCAGCTGAGGAGAAGGTCTGCAGTGACGTCTCTGCCTGCGACGACGGTGGTGAATAAGATCAAGGCAGCTGCGACGGCATAGTATAGTAGTTGAAGGATGACGATCTGGGCGAATATTCGTTTTGGGGCTAGATCTGCAAGAGCGCCTGGACGAGCAGGACGCCTCCGACGAGGCATTTCTGTTCGAAAAAGTTGTTGTTGATTATTGAGAATAACAAAAGATGATCAGCTTGTGACAGGAACCAAAGACCAAAGCGGCTCCCTCGCTGACGTCGACGCCGACTCGCCGACGCTTGTCCAAACATTCAATCGCCGCTTTGAGCTCCAGATCAACTTTTTGAGACGTCCGCATAACAATTTACAGTCAAGATGGGTTGGTTCGGTTCAGACAAGCCCAACGCCCCCGAGGCACCCAAAGCATCCGGCGACGGAGGTTTCATTGCGCCTGACCGTAACAAGCGTGCACACTGCTGGGAAGCTCGCGACGCCTACTTTGCCTGCCTCGACAAGAACAACATTATCGACAGTGTGAAGCAGTCCGAGAAGGCAGATAGTCTCTGCGCCCCAGAATCGGCCAAGTTTGACCAGAACTGTGCCTCGAGTTGGGTATGTCTCTACTCTGTCCCCATGCCATCTGCGGCAACCCTCTGACTATGCGCCAGGTGCAATATTTCAAGAAGAGAAGAGTCATGGAGTACCAGCGCGACCAAACACTCAAGAGACTACAAGGCGAAGGTGCCAGCGACATTGCCGTCCAGCAACAGTAATTTCCTCGTCAACACCGAATATACCCCCGCCACTTCCAAACAAGTCGCATACACCCTCTCCAACTTGTGCTCTCGCCACGACACTTACTCCATACCACTTTTCAGCGCATCACCATCTGTCTGGCATCCGCTATCTGGTCATGCCCGGACCTTGGTCAGGTTCTGCGTGGTCAAGTATCCAAGTTGGAATTGAACGAGGAGGAGCATGGACAAGTCATGTCTCGCATCTGTATCATATGTAAAACACTGTAGCAATATCACGCCGAATGAATCCAAATCACATACCATCCTTTACATCTTTGGCTATCGTTACCGTCTTTCAGTGCTGCGCGTGTGGTAATTGTTAGTAGGGTTTTAGGGTTTCGCGCCCCGCATATCTCTATCTCAATTTCTCGACGCGACCATCTCGGTCATTTCTTTCACTTCCGTCACCGCGAAATCTCGCAATCACTCACCAGTACCAGATCAACCTGGATCGCACTGGATCATCTGACCTTTGATGGAGTGCGCACGCAAAAGGAAGCTAGGTTCTGATAAGTCTGCTGGAAGCTGAAAGATCCATCCATCATGAATGACCAACAACACGATCTAAACTATCCGGATCCTGCTTCTGGCCACTATCTGACTCCCTACCCTGAAGTTTCACACCAGACAGATCCTTATAGCTATGCCTACGCTCCTCCGCACGAGGATCTTTATCCTCCCATGCCGCAACCTCTTATGCATGAAGGTTTTATGCCGCGCGGTCCACAGCCACTGATGCATGAGGGTTTCATGCCTAGACATGACGTGGATGTTGATTCAGATGTTGATGAGGATCCAAGTGCTGGCTATGGTGCTCTACAGGCGCAGTACGGTCTAAATTTCGTCTTGAACCCTCAAAGCGCCCATGCAGACTCTCGTCATGACAACCAATTTGGTCCAGAGGACGACATTGTCTACGGAGATGACTTTGAGGAAGAGGATCATCAACCTCAGCGGAGCCGTCTAAACAGCGTCGAACGCGAACTCCTGGATGTTAGAGACAACCCTCGCATAGACCCTGACTTTGCCATGTCTGATGCTGGCGGCGATAGCTCAGACGACATGTCGATCAACTCAGACATTTTGAACGACATTCTGGATGAGGAGATCGCTGCAGGATCTCGTGGTCGTGGCAAAGGCCGCGGTCGCGGACGTGGACGAGGTTCCGGACGAGGGCGACGCGGCTGGAAATGGGCCATCAAAGGAACAGAACACGATCCCAAGATGAACAGTGGAAGAGGTCGCGGTCGAGGTCGCGGCAGAGGAAATGGTGTCCCTCGTGGAGAAGGTCGTCGCAAGAATGGTGACAAGCGAAACACTGTTGCAGAGCCTGATCCAGAGTTCAAGAGGTTGCAGTCACTTGCCACGCAAGCCTTCTTGAATAACAACTACCAGGCTGCTGCAGATTATGCGCGTGATGCTGTCAAGGCTAACCCTGAGATTTTCGCTGCCCACAGTTTGCTGTCTGAGATTCTTTTGGCACAAGGAAAAGATCAGGACTCGCTGACTGTGCTCTTGCACGGCGCTCACACAAGACGTGATCCGGCTCTCTGGTGGACTGTTGCAGAGCGAACTCTGGAACTGGCAGGAGAGAACCGTACTCCCGCTGTGCTTGAACAAGCCATCTATTGTTTCGCCTGGGCGATCAAGCTCGACCCGGATGATTACGATGCTCGCCGTGAGAAGCTAAACCTACTTCTCGAATCTGAGCAACCTTCGAGAGCAAGAGGAGAAGCCAAGATGATGGTCCGCCAGAAACCTCACGACCTCAACATTGTCAAACAGTACGCCGATCTGTGTGCCTACTCGGCAAGTTTGCCAGAGATTCAGCGTGCAAAGGATGCCTACGATGTTGCAATCAATTTCTACTTCAAAGGCAGATCTCTCGGTGTTCCAGAGACGCAATGGTCTCACCTCAACGTCTACCTCGATCTGGTTGAGAAATGCGAGAATCCTACACAAGCAGCTTTTCATCTCAAGAAGCTCTCGAGATGGTTGCTTGGAAGAAAGGAAGACACTTTTTGGGATGAAGTGACAAGTGACGACAGGGAGTTTGACAACGACGACGTGCCCCGAAGAATCCAAATCCCGGAGTTCAAGTACAGTCGATACACAAACAAGAAAGAGATGTATGGCGAAGGTCTACCTCTGGAACTGCGTGTCAAACTCGGTCTCTTCCGCGTGAAGATAAGCAGAGCCGATCTCCCCGAGGCCATGCGCCACTTTCAGATTCTCCTGGATCTCAAGGACGAAATTGCAGAGTACTTTGATTTGTTCAGAGATGTTGCCGAGGCCTTGATCGAGCAGACATACTACGCAGAAGCCATCATGTTCTACGAGCCCATCAGATCCGTGCCAGAAGCATGCGACCACGACTACTACATGAAGCTTGCAGACTGCTACATGATGTTTAACCGCAACGCAGATGCAGAATCCTGCTGGAAGTTCATTGTCGACAACGACCCAGAAGACATCAAGTCGCGTATTGCCTTGGCCAAACTCTATGAAGCTGAGCAGAGAATGGCAGAGGCTGTTCCACTGGTACACGAGGTCATTAGGCTTGGCCGAAGTGATGCAGTAAAAAAGGCCAAGATCACTGTTGATAAGCCTCCGCCACCACGAGCTCTTGCGCCTCTTATGCCGCGACCTGAACAATCTGCTCCTATAAGCAGAGTTGCAGGTCCAGTCTCCAGAAACTACTCTCTGGGACCTATGCCTGAGGATGGCGATGACGGTGATTACCAAGACGACGGCCAAGACGAGGAAGGAGAAGACGAAGACGAAGGTGACGATGATGATGAGCGTTTCATCGCCTTCCGACCAGGCAAACGCGGTCGTCCAAAGACAGCAAAACCCCGAGCCTCACGGGCCCGCGTATCTCAAACCTTCGAACGTCTCCAACAACAAGACCAACGCATCAAAGCCAACCACGTGCTCGTCAACTCCGCTCGAGAGAGCTTAGACGAAGACGACGATGCCCTACAAACCTACTTCGAAGCCGCCCAAGAAATGATCGACGACTTCAAGACCGTACGAGCCTTTTATCCTGGCCGCGACAAACACATCAAATTCACCGGCTACGGACGCAACACCAAAAACCCTGTGGTTGCCGAGATGGAAGCTATGAAAAAGCGCATCGCAGAAGATGGAAGTATGGATGTAGACGATCAAGTGCCAGACGAAAGCATCCCTGACAACTTCCACGATATCAAGTTTACAGAATGGCTAGACATGTTTTGCGAATACGCTTTACTGCTTGCCAAAGCAGCCGATCGCGAAAAATGCTATGAGGTGTTGACGACAGCGTTTAGTTGTACGGTGTTTTACCACAGTTTGGCGCATAAAACTCAAATCCATGCGACATGGATGGCGTGTGCCTTACTCCTCAACGACGAGCAAAAAGTCTGCGAAGTAGGACGATTCTTTATCATCGAGTGGCCGCACAGCGGTGCAGCATACCAACTCTTCGCAGCCGTAAACCGTTTGTTTGCGGGCTACAGTAACTGGTTCAACAGCGGTCCCACCCAAAAGTTCATCCTGCGTCAAGTAAAAGCCCTCGATTATGCACTCCTTGACCCCGAGTCTCGGGCTTTGTATGCATTCACAGGCCAAGAAAGATCCTCCTACACACACGCCGGCAAAAGAGACGCAAACCCTTTCAACCTTCCCGATCTCGATGCAGGCGTAATCTCTCTCTACGGCCACATCATGGCAGCAGCACAATCCTGGACCTCAGCTCTAAACTACTATTTCCGCGCGCTGACACTGGATCCCGATAACGTGTCTATCAATCTATGTATTGCGACTGCATACATGCAAATGGCAATGAAACGACAAGCAGAAAACAGACATTGGCAAATCTATCAAGGCGTGGCGTTTTTGCAGAAATACGTTGCGTTGCGCATGAAGACCGGACAGGCGATTCATGAGCAAGAGGCTGTGTATAATGTAGGTCGTTCCTGGCATTTGCTGGGCATTATGCATTTGGCGATTCCAGAGTATGAAAAGTGTTTGGCGCTGGCAGATAAGGTCAGGCAAGAGGCAAGAGAGAAGAAGAGACAGGAGGACAGTGATGGTGAGGGGGATGATCAAGAAGAGGTGGATCCTGAGGAGTTTACTCAGGAGGCGGCGTTTGCGTTGATGCATATTCTTGCCATGAACAGCAACGAAAAGGCGGCCAGGAAGATTGCTGAGAAGTATCTGGTCATGTGAGTTCTCTCTCTGATCGGTGGGAAGGCGCAAAGGGCGTTCGAGGTGGGAAAGCGTTATGAACAAAGGGATTTTGGGCTTTCAAGGTGTAACACAGGGGAGTCGAATGCTCGAAACGAGTTGTATTATAGGATGAGTTCATTGTTGTACAAACATAGCCAATTGCTTGCCATGAACCGTGTCTATGCATATCCAGACATTCCAAATGCGCCATCCCCCATGAACTTTTTGTATCCCACCAATTGAGCACACTATAATTACAGAGAATCGAAGCGTATATACACAATCACCAATTGACTTCGAAAGAACCACTACTGTTTCGCCCTTCTCATCAACCACCTTCTCGACCATACTCAACGTACATCTCAACCTCTTCGTCTGACGGCCAGCCGCCCCATTGCTTCAGCCATCCAACAATCCTCTTGATCTTCTCGATCTGCTCGGGTGATGCGAAAGGAGGAATTTGTTCTTCCTCAAGGTCAGGTCTTGGAGGCTCCCATCGATCTTCTACGAACACACGTAAAGCAATCAGTGCTCTTCGCATCAAAATCCGACCCCTACGATCCATAGCACAACGCTTGGTAAGTTCCTTTCGATGTCTAGTCATCCATCGAACCAAGTCGTACAGACCATCGAAGTCGCGCAACATGCCCAGAGCGCGAATGTAGGCGTGCAGTAGGGCTGGGCGAGGGACAGTGTACAGTCGAGGCAGCTTGACTTTAGGATTTACTGCTTTCCGTAGACTTGATCTAAACCCCTTCTCACCCTGAGTCAAGGTCCAGAATTGTTCTTTCAACCAGTCGTGGCCATCTTGAAACATTGTGTTTGCATTCCTGATCAGGCCAGTGTTGGCTTTGGGAGCGAACTCTGGGTCGTATCCGTGTTTCTGAAAAACAGTGTGGACCGCGCTGGCTGCATGCTCAGCGATGATGCAGATGCTTTGGAAGCCATCCTCATCTAGTGTGAGATCATTCTCCCACATGGTCTCATCAATCTGACGGGCAAGGTTGAATGCGAAAATCTTGTCGTACAGCTCACTCTCCTCTCTCAAAGACTCGTTGCCTCGAAGATGTAGGGATCGCCAGCTCGAAGCCAAGGCTGGCGCAGATCTGCGAGCCAATGCATCGAACACAGAATTCCAGGATGGACGATGTGTCCGTTTCTGCTGAACAAGCAGATAGAGAGCCCGGGCTAGAGGTTGTCGGAGGTCGAAGTTTGATTTTACGATGGTACCATATCTCCATTGCAGTGTCAATTCTCTGTCAAGTGGACTGTGTGGAAAGCGGCAGAGAAGGCGTATATAGGCCGCGAAGATTTGATCAGGCAAAACGTGCAAAGCCTGGTAATCCTTCGATCCGTGTAGGAGGGCACTAACAGCAATGCGATACTTTCCAGTGCCGGTCTCGAGATACAGCAAGCCTTCTGCAAGAGTCTCAGCACTGTCTAAAAGCATAATTAGAGTATCATCGGAAGGATAATTTCCATCCTCGCGCATGTGATCATAGAGCTGCTGAACTGAAGGTATTTCGGCACGAATATATGTCAATTGATGAGCAGATGACGGAGGCGAACCAATCTCCATGGTGTCGCCCGGATACAAAGGATCCAGATCATCGTTATCATCGATTTCATGACCAACGTTTTCGGCGCCGAGTCGAATCCTTTTGCGCTCCTGTATCAAGATTTCGAACATGGCATGATAGATGCGGTGGTCAGAAGGAAGATTCTCATCCTGATAAGCCAAGAAACAGGCCCAAGCTTGCTGAGCTGTGCGAGTCGTCTTGATACGAGCCATCCAAAGGCTTTTCTCAATACGATCCTCAGGCAAATTGTCAAGGAATATTCTCTTCTGAATTGTGGGACTGCGATCCGTGTCCCAGCCTGCATATAGCATGGCGACCTGGTCCCATCCTTGGAGCGGATAGCCAGCCTCCTGCATTCTGATCAAGACTTGGTGAGCACGACTGATACCATAGTCGAGATCGATACGGGCGTCCATGCCGGTGCGATCTTCTTTCCAGGGAGGCCAGGAGGGAGATTTGAGCCTGGCCCATTCTCGTTCAGAAGGGGTCTTTTTGGTGGCCAGCTGAACGCGCACGACAGCGCGATAGCCCACGCGATTGATGGCAAGAGCAGGAGTATGGTCAGCCATGTACTTGAGTATGATGGCTTGAGCAGCCTCTTGAAAGACGATGTTCTTGAAAGGAGAGATGTGTGAAGGTTGAGAAAGCAAATGGAGGGCGTGGTTGTATTGCGAAGTCAAGTGCGAGACGGAAGTGAAGTCGCCTTCTTCCATGGCTGACTCTTGGAAACGGGCGAGGAAATCATCAGACAAACGGAGTTGCTGGGTCAGCCAAGTAGCCACGAGGGGAATAGTAGCAGGCCAGACGCGTCGGCAATGATACAACAAGCTCTTGAAGACTGGAAGCACAAGAGCTTCGCATAAGTTGGGAGTATCGGGATTCCAGGAGGGCAAGTTTTCCAAAAGAAGACCAAGAGCTTCAGGACGGATGTGTTTTCGGGCGAGCAAGCCACGATAGACGAAGAAGGGAGGGTCGTGGGTGGCTGTGAGTAGACGTACGGCTAAAAGCGAGTCTTTGGTAGAGAGGATGTTGGAGTAGTAGTCAACGTGGTGTTGTGTGTAGCCCAAGGAGCGGAGGATAGCATGCTCTTGGTTGGTCAAGGATATTGTCGTGTCATCGGTCGTGTCAGACGATTCGGACTCGTCAGAGGTTTCGGATGCGGCCATGAGTTGTAGTCGGCGGTCGACAATCTTCTTCAGGGCGTTATGGTTGGGACTCGACGAGAGGTGCCATATCGGTGGCTCGAGGACGGCATCTTGGCGTGATTGATCAAGATGGACAGAAGTGGAGCGGTCAGGAAAGGCTTCAGCGACTTTACGCAGCAAGAGGCGCTGCTTCCCAGCAGGAAGGTGGTCGCTCTTCACATGGCCGTAATTGGAGAAGGAGCGACGGGCGTTGTTGCCAAACGACCAGGAACAAGCAAAGTTGAATCGAGTAGCATATTGGGCCCGCCTACCGAGGGACAGAGCACCAACAACTGGCATTCATCAGGTCGTGCGCAACAAGTCTGCTTTTTAGCTGTTCATTCCTGTGCCGTTTCCAGCTGTTCAAAATTATGTCCAGCTCCAAGCAGTTCGGAGGGCCAAGCAAACAAAGCAAAAGCCGTCGATGCCGAAGCGGGAGCGGAGAGAGCCGCTGTACGCAGGGGCCACGTCTAGGTTGGTAGAGACAGAGTCAGGTTGTCGCAGGAATGATTGTTCCTATAGTCTATTCATCGAATTGCTGCCGCTATTGACCTCTGCTATTGAGAGCGCTCGCACAATCGACGTTCTGTATTGTTGCAAGTCTGCTATTGTGCGAAAGCTGGGGCTGCCGCCAATCCAAAGCACAACGCGTCTTCCCTCATTGCGACTTTTGCGACCAAAGACGCGGGGACCATGCCCGACATGACCATGACCGACCACCACCAAAGCAATGGCGACGTCGACCTTGTTGCTGACCATCCGCCTGCTCCCGTCGAATCTTCGCCCACCGGTCTCAAGCGAAAGCGCCTCGAGTCGGAACCACAACCTCAAACACAGACCCAGCTGTATCAGGACCTCTGGGAGCTTCTGAAGACGTCCGTCGCGTCCATTAATCACCATCTCACACTCCTCGTACTGACATCCATCATAGCCATGATCCCGAACCCTCAGTCTTGAACCTACCTCTCCCAAACGCGTCGCGACTCTCCCAAACCAATGGTGATTCCACTAAGCGTCCGAAACTTGACAGTGAAGAAGAACAAAGCACCATTGCTTCACGCTTGCAGAACAACCTCTATCAAAGTCTTGACGACTTTGAGCGCGATCTGGATCTTGCTCTCGACACCCTCTTCGAGCCACTGAAGGCCAAGGATCCCACAAAGACTGCCCAGCGCCTCACCAACCAACATGTCACCACAATGCGCTCCCTCTCAACCTTCCGCTCCCTTGTCAAGGACTGTCTGGATCGTGAACGACCTAAAGATGAGAAGGTGTCCATCAAGAAGGAGGAGGAAGATTCGCTTGCGCCAAAGTCTGCAAAGACAGTCTTGAGTCTGTTCGGAAATGCTCCTCAAGCGAGACAACTCTTCTCAAGTCTGCCTCGTTCGAGCGCATCTACACAAGCTCCTGGTCTATCCGTCGAGGAACTCGGTCTACCCGCTATGCTTTCTGCCACAAAAGTCGTACCTCTACCTCCTGCCGACGCTCTCGTCGCTCGCAAAGCTAACCCTACCTTCGCCGATGTCTTCCCTGCACCTGCAACTCTGCCAGCTCTAAACCCTCCCAAGCCGATCAGACATTCGTCATCCAAGTCCACTACAATTTCATGGTCTCTTGGCGAACTGCCAAAAGCTTCGAGAAAGGCCGGATACACTCTGCAACCCCTGACTGTGGGAACCTGGGTAGGCTATGGTTCTAACGAAATCAAAGAGTCCGCATCTGCAATCAAGCGCAGGCGGAGGGAAAGTCTTCTGAATGGCCAAGAACAACCAAAGCCCACTGAAGAACCATCTCCTGCCGACATCCTCGCTCAAGAGACTGCTCTATTCCGTGCCGCATACTCTGGTTTCGCTCCGACCCAAGACAACTCCAAGGCTTTGGTAGCCAAAGAGACCAAGAACATGGTTTGGTGGCACAGAATGGGTCAGAGGCGATTTGATGACCACTTCGTTCTTGACCCAGCTCTGCAGGAATCTCCCTTCAAGGATGATTCTGAGGAACTCACCAAGCAGGCCTCCATAGACGAGTCTGAAAACATTCTGGGTGCAGACGAACTCGAAGCAATCCAGAAGGCAATCGAGAATTTCGATGAGGATGCTTTGAAACCCAACAAGATTGAAGTCGTGTCCACTATCAATGAAGAAGAACGCGAAGTTGAAGAAATGCTTGCCGAGATCTCAGACCTCCTGAAAGCTTTATCGTCACATCAACGAATCCGCAACTCTTACATTCCTACTGGTTCGCGAAATCCAGCAAGTCCTAGTCCATTGTTGAGCGCTATGGTCGGTACTGCGACCGTTCCATCGGCCGAGGAGAACGAGACTTACAGAGCTCTGCGATCTCAATTAGCCCAACTGATATCCAAACTTCCACCTTACGCCGTTGCCAAACTTGATGGTGACAAGTTTGCAGACTTGGCTGTCAAGAAGAACATTGTCATCCAAGGCAAGGAGTACCGTGGAACCATGGAGGAAGATCAATTGACTCGTTCGATCCGCTCTTCAGCTATGCAGGCTGCCGCTGCTCAGAAACCAGACCCGACCTCACAATACGGACGCACACCATCTGTCCCTAGTCGCGCATCGTCAAGTTACTACAGTTCCAGGACTCCAGTTACTAACTATCGCGGTGCTGCACAAAGCTACAATGCTCCTGCTACTGCCCCACGTGCGGGTGCCAGCTATCCCAACACGTATAACACTACCAGCAATGGTCGCTCGTCCTTCAGCACGCAGTACTATGGTCAGCAGCGACCGACATATGCCTCACAATACAGCACTCAGACTCCTCAGCCCTCCAATCCCGCTCGCCCGGGCTTTAATGTTCCTCAAACCGCCTATGCTCCTCGCACCACTGCATCGACCTTTGCCAACGGTGCTCCTGCTGGGGCTGCATACACGCCACAAAACTATGGGCAAACGCGGCCTACTTATGGTTCTGCCAGTACGCCCGTGCCACAACAAACGTACCAATCTCGTGCGCAAAATCTCGCCGGTTCTCAACCACAACCTTCATCTGGTCGCGTAACGCCGACATTCGCCCAGCCTCCGAACCCGAACACACCTTCAGCAGTTGGGCCTTCTGGCTTCCATAGTACACTGACTGCTGAACAGCAGAGGATGATGATGGAGAGACAGCGTGCAGCACTCGCCATGCAACCTCAGTCTGGAATGGCAGCACAGACAGCACCCATGGGAGGCAGTTCTGCAGCACCCCCAGCTGCTATGCAAGCTCCAGCCCAACAACCTAATGGGTCTCTGTAGAAAAGGACCGAGAAAGATGAAGAGAATCGTTGGGATAGTCACACAGATGACTGACTTTGAACGATTGCTGAACTATTGATGTTCCACCATTCTTATTGCTATGAGCGGGTTTTGATAAATGAATTGGTAGAGCCGGTAGAGCAAGTAGCTTGAAAGAATCGGGGTACGAAAAGTATTGCCATCCAATCCCGCAATGAACACGTCTGTTCTTTTATGCAACAATGTTTCTCGGCTTCAATCAAGTTTCAGAATGCCACACTGTGGAATCGAGACTTGCTGTGCCTGGCGAATGGTCGCGGATCCATCCAATAGTCTACAATCTACTCGAGTAGCTCAGGAACGCGCCTTGTTAATGCTTAGCGACACCGGACCAACACCGAGCCGTTCATAGCAAGGTTTGTATAGCGGCCCCGCCATTGCTTGATGTTTGTCAGCCAACCTCCACCCCGTCAATGGCTTTTTTGCCAAAAACTGGGGAAGGTGGGGTCTGCAGTCATGACGTGGGTGACAGGATGATTTTCTCGGGTTGGAGTGGTGTGTTTTTCCAAACCGCTGCATGCTGTTGGTTGTCAAGCGTCGGCATCACCTTCACACAAGCAAGGGCTTGCATTTCGGTCACAGTAAGCTATGCAGATTGACAGGCAATGACAGCGGACGAAAGGGTTGAGAGTTGACTTAGGGCAGCCATGCAATGGTTCTTACCGAGCACGTCCTTTCGTGTTGGTAAACCTTCTACGTCAAATGTCTCAGTGGCTGATGGTATGGCTACTCGAAGCTCCGGCAAATGGCTGGTATCTCCGTTGATGCCTCGCGCAAAGCAGATCAGGCCGGGGTGCATGGTCCACCGATGTGGTGTGCCGTCTTTTGTTGACACTAAACTCCACATCTGCATGTGCAACCGCCCTCGTGTAGAGCTACGGCTGTTACGGCTATTCATCTTTCAAGTTTTGATGCAACGGATCGAACGACGAACGACATAACCGGCGGGGTAGTAGCTCGTTGCAGTTTGGACCACGGCTATCCGTTGTGAGCTGGACTATAAGTAGGGTTAGGTACTGCCCAGGTGCTACAATGTAAGTGGTGCTTTCTTCTATATCAGGATGCCTTCTTTTTCAACCCTCGTTGGTGCTTTCCTTGGTGCAGCTTCCTTGGCTGCCACTGCCGCTGTACCTGCCTCTCAACCTTTTGAACACTTCAAGGCCAAGAGACAGTCTACCAACAGTAGCTTGGAAGTCGATCTCGGTTACGAAATCTACGAGGGATACACCAACCAGACTACTGGAATCAACATCTGGCGCGGGTATGTCCATGGACGCCTCACCTTTCTTTCAATGCTGACAATTCGCATCAAGTATTCGTTTTGCTGCACCTCCCGTTGGATCTCTGCGCTGGCAAGAACCACAACCTCCCACAGAGAATCGTAGTGAGGTTATCCAAGCCACCAGTTATGCTCCCCAATGCCCTCAGAGCTCTCTGTCACCAAACAATGGCACTCTCTCGACCGAGGACTGTCTGTTCCTCAATGTCTATGCTCCACCAAACGCAAAGAACCTTCCAGTGCTCGTCTGGATCCACGGAGGTGGTTATGGACTGGGTAACGGCCAGCAAGACCTGCAAGCTATTATCGAAACCAACAACAACTCTTTTGTTGGTGTAGCTATCCAGTACCGTCTCGGCGCTTTTGGTTTCCTTTCCTCAGATGAGGTTAGCCGCTTTGGTAGCGTCAATGCTGGTATTCTCGACCAGACCTTTGCCTTGAAGTGGGTCCAGGAATACATCTCTTCCTTTGGAGGTGACCCACGCTCCGTAACCATCTCAGGTGAGTCAGCTGGAGGTGGCTCGGTCATGTTGCAAGCCATGGCTTATGGTGGTACCTTGGGCACTTCGTTGTTCAAGAATGCCATCGCAGCTTCTCCTTACTTGCCTATGCAATACGGATACAAGGACTGGGTGCCTTCGCAATCTTACTACGCTTTTGCAGCCCATGCTGGCTGCATGCCCAACACTGCCTATGGATCTTCTTCTCGCACCATCTTTGAGTGTTTGGTCAACCAGAACACCACGACTCTTCAGTATGCCAGTTTCAACGTCAGCGCTGACGGTAACTTCGGAACTTGGGGCTTCTTGCCTGTTACCGATGATGTGTTTATCCAGGATGTTCCTAGCAGGCAACTCCTGGAGAAGAGGGTAAACGGACAGAACCTCCTCGTCGGCAACAACGCCAATGAAGGCCCTCTGTTCGTCCCGCAGAACATCACAACCGAAGCTGATCTTGTCTCTTGGTTGGAACTTACTTTCCCTCTCTTCAGCAACGACGATATCGCCAAGGTCCTTCTCTACTGTAAGCATTCTCCTCTTTTCGACACCTACTTCTCAAGCAGAATGCTAACCACACATAACATTAGACCCTAGTTCCAACGCCTCGGACTCGTCTTCCGCTGTCGATTTTGCAACTCTTGGTAACTCAGGCCCAACCGCCCTTAACGAATCCTCCCTCGCTACAGGCCAACAACAACGCGCCGACAACATTTACGCCGAGACAACCTTTGTCTGCCCCTCTTACTGGATGGCTGAAGCCTACACTGGCGAGAGATCGTCTTTCAAATATCAATACTCCGTCCCTGCCGCCCAACACGGTGCCGATGTCTCTGGCTACTTCGGCCCCGCAGCACCCACCCAAGGATCCCAGTTCGAGCGTGCCTTCATGTCCATCTGGGGTCAATTCATTGTCAACTCCAACCCATCCATCCCATCTAACATTGCTGGTTCTGGTGGCCAAGCCGCTGTCAACTTCCCTCGTTTCAACGTCTGGAACCCTGTTCAGGTCAACCTTAACGAGACTGGTGGATACGAGGTTTATGGCCCCTCTGGTGTGCAAATGATTAATGACACTGTCTATGAGGGCCCTGGTCTGATGAACAGCTTCGAGGTTGTCAACGCATACACTTGGGAAGGCGGTCGTGGTAACAGATGTGATTTCTGGAGAGCTATGGCTCCTATTGTGCCTGAGTAGGTGGAAGAAAAGAGTGCTCGAGGGGTGAAGCTGTTTCATATGTGGTTGAGACATATAATGAATAGTGCTTAATTTATCATGATCTTCTTGATGCACACATACAACTTTATTGTCCTGCTCATCTTCACTGCTCTCGTGTGGTCAAACTTTCTACTCATAGTCTGGTGTGCTTCTAGCTTCGCGACAGCCCTCTACGCAAGGCATGCAAGATCTCGACCAATTGAGTTTGTCGTGTTCTTTTATTTGCGAATCTGTTTGTGCATGTCGGATACAAAGGATAAACGACGTATCAATAGCGTTTACTGATTTTGGTTTGCGATAACCTTGATTCTTGAAAATTTAAGCCACGCGATCGTCCTATCACCCCAATCTCATGGCTGGATGATCCATGAAAACATTTCAACCTATCCAAGCGCTATCTAGAGATACACAAGCAACGATAATCGAGATATTGGTGATTTTGATGTTCAAGATACTTGCCGAGGGTATGACTCAGCTCATATCTCTTGACGAAGAGTAAAAGGATTGAAAAAAAAAAAAAAGAAAGAGGAAATGATCAAGCGTAGAAGAAGACTTGGAAAGAGGGAGTGATTGAGTTCTGATGTCAGTTTATCGCTCATTCAGAGCTGACTTGTCGCGAAACTTCCTTGCATCCATCTCTGGTTTATGAACTTGTGCGTTTCTACAGGCCATACTTTGTTGAATGTTATTGCTGGACGACAGCAGAAGCTACGAGGTTTGGCATTTGAAGAGATATTGTATTTGTTCGGGAGCAAAGAGGTTGTGCTAGTATTGCTAGTATCAAGTTTCGGCTTCTTTGGTCGTTGCTCCTAATCAGCTTGGGCTTGAATATATGAGCAGTATCAGGTTTGAGGTGCAGGAGCTGTTCGCGTATATTGTGTGGCATGGAATGATGGATGCTGGATGCTGAATGCTGAATGCTGAATGCTGAATGCTGAATGCTGAATGCTGAATGCTGAATG